CTTTTTTGGGCAAGTTTGCTTTATCAAATGAGCTTTGGCATTCTTAGATCACATGAACAGAATTTAAAGGGCTATATGGGTGTGTTCCCATCTCATGAAGATATCCTGCATCCATGATCTACACGCCGTGTGAGAGACGAATGCCTGCGATGCATATCCAATAATCTCAAGAAATCTAATTATCGCTTTGGTTTTCAATTCCGATTGAAAGTTGCACGTCTCTTCCAGTTAAAGTTTGTGAATCGAAAGTCTAGGAATAACTCCAAGTCGAGCCAACATTGATCACCTTTCGATTAGTTTCTTTTTATTCTTTTTTTTTTTTTGTGTGACGCAGCAGTGCTAATAGAGTAGTCATGCCTCACTTTCAAAGTTTGAAGTTGAAACATAGGTGTTCGCCTTTGCCTTCTGCTATAAAGCCGATAACATCAAATTTCCTCTAGTCTTATCACTGTGGAAAACCCGCAAGCACTAAGTCTAAAGGTCCATGTCCTCATTATACCAGGTCCTTTTTTCTCCGGACTTTTTATGTGTCCATATTTATCAGGTTGCAATTATTTATATTTTGATAAGTAAATATTGGGTTATTCTTTCTAATCCCAAGTTGTTCTTACTAATTTCCCAGTTGAGCATATAATGTCCCAAAACCTAGTACAAGACGAACAAAACTCAAGTCCTTAACCATCATACACACTCGGACTATATGACAAGATCCCGATTGTCCTGAAAACATCCCGAAGTTTCTGACAGACCGAACAACGCTAGAACAAACAGCAAGAACATTCTGCCATTACCCAAAATATCCATCATGGATTTTTTAGTATTAGCTCAGGTTTCTTCTACATTGCCCATCTGAGGGATATATAGAGATGTCGAAATGATAAACATGTGCAAGGGTTTAATAACAATACCGGTAAATTATCTAGAATTCTTCTGGGTCGAAGGAACACGCTCTCTAATTATATCTTCATCAAAGGATGATCCAGTCAAAGAATTAAGGGCTGGATACACATTATGTTGGAGTAGAAGCAATAGGTCTAGCCCTATCAATATATCTAATTGGATCTATCTTCACTTAAAAGCTTAAGCTAATGAGTTATGGTTCAAATAAATTATATTAATTACTCCACATCACCAATTCTCCAATGTGAGACTTTTTTTAACACAACTCACACTTGTATCTCAATACAATATCATATGCCTTAGAATAGTCGCACCTTCAGCAAAATTTATCATTGCCACATATAGAAGAGACTAGCAGACTTTCTATTTGATGGTTAAGTTAAAAACTATAAAATGGAGAGAATTAGATAAACGGATAAAACATTCGCTTTAAAAAAAAATTGAATCTAGAAATATGGAAGGACTTTTTTCAATATCATATGGAGAGAGAAAAATCAATGTGATTATAATTAGTGAATTAATCCTTTCAAACATAAAAGCAACTTGTAAAAGTTTTTAAATCTTAGTGGTTGATGAGAGAGCTTAAAATCGCGACAACTAAACACATGAAGAGTTCCGACCCAAAAAAAAAACACATTAAGAGTTTTTAGAAATTCTTAGGGGCTAAAATCATGGGGAGAGATTTTGTTATGCATATGCCTTCTATTATTATAAAATGTACCTACCACCATTTGAGTGTCAATTATGGCCAAGGAAAATACATACTTCTTTTGATTGGAGATCTAGTGACAATCCGCAGATAACCCAAACTCCAGTAGAGTTCTCTCTCTATGTAAATCAAGAAACTTCCAGGATGATACATGTTCGCATGGATCGAGTCAATTGTGCAGTATCTTCTACTCTGGAAAACAAAAAAACAATGTGATGTATGCTATAGCTAGGATCATTTTGTGTAAATTTATAGGAGGAAAAAACTGACTTTTGACCTTACGTCAATTTCATTCAACTGGTAATGATCATATTACTAGCCTTCCACATATTGTCATCGAGAACTTTTGAATTACAACAATAAACATCAAGCACTTCCAACCAATAGAGATTCTTATGCATACTACCTCCAGAAGAAGTGAGAGCAACAATGGTTCAAGCCTATGGAGAAAATATGCACGGGGTGCAATTTACGACGACCAAGTGCGGAAAGTTCAGGATTTGAAGGCCTCACTCAACTGGAGATCTGATCTCTTTCCTGTTCCACCTACACCATTCTATCTCTCTCCCTCATCGCAGCCAGTAAGCACGAGCTAACACTTAATCTTGCTCGTTCTTTGCTCGCAGATATAGCAACTTATTGGTAAGTGAAGTTCGGACCTTGGCCAATGGACTTCCATAGAAATTTGTAGCACACTGTCCGAAATTAAAGATGGATCTTTATATCTAGGAACATAAGATGGTCTGACTGTTACAATGGTGGTTAATACGGGGTGTGCCTAACCGTATATGTATACAGATAGGAGGCAGCAGAGTACAAGCATCTCATGATTTCTCAGGTATCTGATTACTAAAACTGCTCTGATCCATCTCGCAGTGGGTCGTGGTTGGGCTATAACTACAAGTATATAGCTCTTAAATGGAATTTGCTTGATCCACAGACCACTATCATCTCTTGTGCTATGCTCGATTTTGCCCAACTTTAAGGGGCATTTGGACAAACAAATCATGTATTTATCTCCTCATTAGAATACATATACCATATCTAAATCGGCCTTCTCAATCGTTCTGTGCCTGAGGAGAGTGAAATATAAAGAAGCTCTCTTGATTGAAAAGAGGAGCAGAGCGGGACTGAATTGTGCTCCTCCAGTAAAAGCCCTTTTAAGATAAAAAAGTTTGCTTTCTCATTCATTGATGTCATCGGTTTCTTTGACTTGCAATCACTGCCCGTAATTCCACCCATTGGTTTTACATAAATAAAGAGGTCTGTCTCTTCCTTTTCTGCTTCCCTGCCCCTCCAAATACCCTTTAAATATTTCTATACTAATTTAGTTTTTCCAAACATGCAGACAATATGGTAATGAATAAGATGGGCAAAAGGACACCAGAAGTGCCACAACTTGTGTATGGAGATCACTTTGGTGCCATAACTTTTTTTTGGATCACTTTGGTGTCAACGTTTTTGACAAACGATTATTTTAGTGCCAATGCTGACGTGGCTCGCCGGAAATCCAATGTGGCACTGACACGGCTCGCCGGAGAGGTCCAGTCAACATTAAAAACCAAAAACGACACTGTTTAGCCCGCTGATGTGTACTTTTTTTTAAAAAAAAATTAAATTATATTTATAAAAAAGGTTGCAAGGCGCGGCGAGGGCTCCTCGTACGCAACCCCTTTTTTTTAATTATTATTATTTTTCTAAAAATTAAAAAATTCGAAAAAAAAGCCACATAATTTCCACATGTACAAGTCAAATCATTTTTTAATATAAATGCCAGCTTTTGGCGGAGTCACTAAAGTGATCTATTTTCCTCCGATTTAGTACCAAAGTGATCCGAAAAAGTTATGGCACAAAAATGATCTCCGTACACAAGTTGTGCATGATCTCCGTACACAAGTTGTGACACTTCTGGTGTCCTTTTACCGAATAAGATGGAAGTGGACGATAAGAACACCTGTCGAGTGGGTGGGTCGGGTCAAGTCATAAATGATCCGATCCAAATTAACCAATTAACCCGCTTATGACCTATTTATTCGTAATGCAAATTTCTCAACCTATACTCAATTCGACCAGACTCATATTGCTAAAACACTTTCATGCAATACAAATTTAGTGGACAATTTTTATAATTTAAAAAAATGATTTTTTTAATATTTCATATATTTTTATTTATTTTTTCTTTCTTTCATTTCCTTTTTTTTCTTCTATGTCCGGCTATGCTCGCGACCCTTGCCCGCTACCGACGAGGGCTTCGCGGCCCTCACTAGGTGTCAGCGAGGGTTGGCCGGCCCTTGCCTGCAACCGGCAAGGGTCGGCTGGTGACCCTCGCTGGATTTTGTAGGAAAAAAAGGAAAAGAAAGGAAGAAAAAGAAAAAAGAAAAATAAAACAAAAAGTCAAAAAATTTAAAAAAATGACATGTGTATAATTCAATTCAGCTTGTTAAGTAACACATTTATGACTCATTTAAAACTCATTTAAGACTTATTAAGTTGTTAGGTACCCATCTATGACTCACTTGAGCTTGTTTTTAAAAGCAACCATTTATGACCCACACCATTTAATATGAGTTAAAATATAAGCTCTATACCTATTTTGCCACCTCTAACAAAGAGCGAACTAGCAGCAACGAATCGATTGAGTTTGCATATTACGTAGCTCTCAGCGGCAGAATCATGCTATCGATTCGATTATCTGCATTCATTGCTATGAGAAAAACCAAAGGTTTGTATGCATATTAAAATCAATTTATCAAATTAATTGACTTACTTAGTGAAGCATTCTGCACTCAATATTCCTGCACTTAATTCCAAACGGGCTCGAAGGCACTAAAAAATTCGGGTTCGGAAAATTTCATTATATTTTGATATATCATAATGAAGAGTATATCAGTTTATTTAATCAAAATTTGCACAATCAAAGGGAGATGTATGACAATCTTGAAAAATACATAGAATCAACATAATTAATAAATATTTCTAACTTAAAAAATTATCTCAAAGAAATCCCTAATTATTTCTAACACCAACATTAAACTATGACTCAACTCTCGGGTTGGGTCATACCAACTCGACTTGACCAAGAATAATTCTTTTCATAGCTCTCTTTTGCTATCAATCCATGTATTGCTTGTGCTGTTGATCAATTAAAGCATTCTTCAATTCGCAAATGTTGATATATAAATGGCACAAATTTTGTGGGAAAGATGACTTGTTGACATAGTGGTCTAGATCAATTTTGAAATCCTCTTCTTTTATTGGCGATTCTAATGCTATCCGTATTAATGATGGTTAAGATCTTGTAAAACCAAAACCTTTACAAAAGGAGCACAAAGACCAAGTCCACTGTAGAGCTCGAAACAAGGGAACCGAAGCACAATAAACAGTTGAAGGAGAATCTCTCTCTCTCTCTCTCTGATGGACACCCTCGGTTGGAGTTGCAAAGGCAAGCAAATGAAACTTTTGTCAACATTGTGCTTGTTTCTCATTCTCATGGTTGAGGAAGTATCTTGTTCCATGAGACTCCACAAGCTGTCAGAGTTCCACGCGAAGCTCCAACAGAGAGTGGCCTACAGTCCCAAGGAAGACCTCGCCATGCCCGGTCCAAATGGTGCCAAGAAGGTAAGTGAACTCTCTGTTCCAGTTTCTACATTTTTCCTCTTTCTTTTGGCCAGTGTCCGAGTTTTGTTCAGATGAATCATGAATTGAAGGCCAACGTGGGTGTTCTTGTGGAACGTGTGGTTGGTTGGTGCCTTTTTTCAGGGGGGAAGGGTGTTCTATCCGGTAGGATATGGGGGTGACCCAGCAGGGACTCGGGAGAGCAGCGAGGCCATCCTAAGTGCTCTGTCTGATGCATTTCAAGTTCAAAGTAAACAGCAAATGCTACCTGGAGTGTCTGACTTGGGTGGTGTGGTCATCGATTTGCAAGGTGGAACCTACTTGGTCTCCAAACCCATTAGGCTTCCTGCTTCTGGTGGAGGCAATGTTGTGGTCAGTCTCTCTCTCTCTCTCTCTCTCTCTCAGATTGTATCTTCAGTGCTTCTCTTTTAAACTTTTCTGTGTTGCGTTAGTGCCACGCGGCAATGTGCACATGCACCGCATTTCACGCCATGGGAACTTCATCGAGATTTAGGTGGGGTTTGTGTAGTCTTTCTCAGTCAAATCCACCGATCCCAAAAGTGCTGTTTTTTGAAAATCAAGCATTTAAGGCTATTCACTCTCCCAACTGCAGTCTGTCCATTACCTACTCGCTTCCCCAGAAGAACCTCCAGTAGCTAGTAATAATGGACTTTTGCTTCCTGAGGATATCATCGAGTCCATCAATTCATTGGATTGAGTTAAATATTCTATTCACGCTCACTGCTGCTCGTAATGCAATGGCACCGATGCTGAATCAGATAGAAGGGGGCACGCTGCTTGCATCAGAAACATTTCCAAGCGACCGGCATCTCGTCGAACTCTGGTCCCCGAATTCTCCGGGTGCCAATGATCAATCGACATCTTACCCCAAGATGGTCGAGAATGTCGGAATCTACTACGAGGACATAACTTTCAGAGACATCCTCCTCGATTCTAGTTTCCGTGGAGGAGGAATTTACGTGGTTGATTCGGCGAGAATTCGCATAACAGATTGCTTCTTTCTTCACTTCACCACAGAGGGAATCCTAGTGAAGAGAGGTCATGAGACTTTGATATCGGGATGCTTCCTAGGACAACATTCGACAGTCGGTGGGGATCCAGGAGAAAGAAACTTCACAGGCACAGCCATCGATCTTCAGAGCAACGACAACGCAATTACTGACGTCGTCATCTTCTCCGCTGCTGTGGGAATTGTTCTGAGAGGTCAGGCCAACATGGTCACTGGAGTACATTGTTACAACAAGGCCACATTCTTTGGTGGGATCGGCATACTGGTAAAACTAGCTGGACTATCGCAAACCAGATTAGACAATTGCTATATGGATTACACGGGCATAATCATGGAAGACCCCGTGCAGGTACACGTTACTAACGGATTCTTCTTAGGAGATGCTAGTATAGTATTGAAGTCGATAAATGGTCAAGTCTCGGGGTTGAATGTAGTGAACAATATGTTCGCTGGCGACCCACAACACATGAATCCAATAGTAGCCTTGGATGGCCAATTCCCTAACGTCAATCAAGTGGTGGTCGACAGCAACAATGCCAACGGAATGAGCTTAAGATCGACAGTAGGGAAACTGACGGTGAAAGGTAATGGGACCAAATGGGTTGCTGATTTTTCATCCATACTGCTCTTTCCGAACCAGATAAATCATTTTCAGTACTCCTTTTATTCTCAAGGAGAGACTGAGTTCCTCAAGCATGCAGTAACTAATGTATCAAATAATGTGGTGGTGGTCGAGAGTGAGACAGCTGTAAATGCCATAGTTTCCGTAGTCGTTGACCAGTACAGCACCCCTGGAGAAGTTATCTAATTCTAGAGAAGGGGAAAGTAATGCAGTTCTACTCTCATTTATAGGGCTGGGGTCTATCTATGAAGTGCCTCTGAGATACTAGGTGAGTTGTGCTGCGAATTGGAAATGTAATGAAATACCCTTCTAGGGTGTTAAATTTCGCATATCCTGGGCAATATACTTATTTGAAAATGCTTGTTTTTCCGGAACATATGGATTATACATAGCACGAGAGAAATTGCATTGGAAAAATTCAAAACTTTCTTATTTAGTTGCTTAACCAGTGACCATAAAGCACTCGTCAACAAGAACCAATGGATTAAGACAAGTCGTTAACAACACTGGTCATGCTTTGGGATTCTTTCATAGGCCCGCTTATCCACCTAATATAAAGAGCTCCAGTCTCCCGTAAGAATAGCTAAAGACACTTTCGGTCAAAGATCATAAAAACCCACTTTTCGAAGATCTCTCAGACTCAAATCAATATCAATAAGATGTCGACAACCATTCTAGAATAATCATTTCTTTGTTTCATTTGGTCTTGGAACACTAAGCCATCTAAGTAATTTATATATTTCCCTCGACCAAGGCACAATAGAACTTCTAAAGTGAGGAACAGAAGCTTCGGAGTTGGTGCCGGCTTTGGACCATGTTCGATGAATCAAATATTATATCTCTGCCTGCTTATTCTTAACGGCTGAAACCCTAAATGAACAAACAAACTTTCATATGCATACATCCTTCAGGAAACAACTTGACACACAATCAGGAAGAAAGGCAACAAAGTGCTAAAAAAGATGAGATTCATCTTATTGTGAAGAAAAAAGAAACGCACCGACAGTGGCAGTATGCCAGTATCCTCATGCAGCCATTTTGATTTAGTTCACATTGTTCTCCTTTCCAGCATTAAAATGCTGACCAAAAGGAAGAAAAGCTATAAGACGTGCTTAATGGTCAAGTCATGAGATTAACAAACATTTCTCCTGAGAAGTTATTGCATGGTCTATAGACCCCATAAAATATTTTTCGTTTTTCCTACAGCAATTCCAGTTGTAACTCTTCCTCCTCTTGTTTAGCTCTTCCACGACATGACACTAAACATTCTTTACCATGTCCTCATTCCCAACTCCAACAATAGGTTTTCCTTGAGGTTTTTTGCTTTGAGAATTCTCTTCATGAATAGCAAACACCTCAGTGGAAAAGATGTTGCTAAACTAACGAGTACAGAAGATGAATGACAAGAAAAAACACAGCATTTCTATACACAACCACAGTGTTAAAAATAGTCAGATTCCTCACATAGGTATACATTCAGACGGGTCAAAGAGAACTTCTCCCTTTGCAATAGAAATGGCAGAAAGCACCCATTGAGCACAAAGACCTAGTCAAGCTCATCTGTGCCTCTAGGCAAGCAGTCCATGTATTACCCATACTTGTATTACTTTAAGAGCAGTCGACACATAAGTAAACCAACCTGTATTACTTGTCTTTATTCTCTTCATCTCCCTCACTGTAGGATTCTTCATCTTCACTGCTCTCTTCACTGTAATCGTATCCCTCAACATCATCTCCTTCTTTGTCGTCAATGAACCCTCTTATCTGCTGTCCAATTAATTGCTCCTGGATTCGGTCCCTAATTTTTGTCCCCTGATAATCACAGAGAAGAACCTGTCACAATAGATGGATCATAGTCTACCAATATTTGAAATAAGTCCTCCATACGAGAAAGCTAGTTCAGTCAAAAGACTGAGAAAGAGAAGGTCACCAACCATATTGTGGCAACGTTCTTCAAACATCTCTAGAAAACCAGCTATGAGCCGATCAGCATTCTCTACCCATAAGTTACGATGATAACCAGCAGTTTTTGCCACTGTTTGGATCTGGATATCATGAGCATGAACATGTAAAATTTAGTCAAATGTGATAAGTCATAAAATTTGTTTGAATACTAGCAGAAGTGTACTGAAAAGGCATATCAACACAAAGATGGAGCTTATTTGAGTATGTTACATATAAACTGAACATTACCAAATCATCACTCACCTATCATTTGCAATATGTCAGAAGGGAAAGTCACCTAGTGGTCACCCATGGGCACAAGTCATTCACAACTAAATATTTGTATAACCCCAGGATAGTTCCTATTGCTATGTGCCATTATGTGCCATTAAAGCCATATGTCTTCACATCAACATATAGCAAACTTTCCTTTGTTTTTTATTGGGGCAATTGTTACATAACATCATCATCTAATACCTGAATTATAGCTTGAGGCAAAAAAAGGCAAAGGCACTGTTTCCTTGAGAGCTACTCCTAGGGCCCATTTTACTAGTGAATGAGCAGCAAAATGGGAATGTATGGTCCATGAAAGTATCAATTGGCAGAAACTCCAAAATGCCAAAGTTGATATCAAACACTAAGTTTCTTAATAAAGCATTTGATTCTCAAATTACATGTTTCAATTAGATTGACAGTATTGTAGTGATTAGCAAATATTTTGAAATCAACTATTTATGAGCCAAAAGTTTACAAACTCATCAAATAGTTACGTATATACCTTCTCTCCCACTCTTTCCCGCTGTTTCTTCACTTTCTCACGCAACCTTTCTATGCCCATGTTCACTTTGAGTCGCTTTTCCTGGTACAGGGCATTAAGCATGCACCATTAATGGAACATCAACCCCAGATTGTGAATAGCATGGATAAAATCTACATGTGAGCATCACGAAGACAAAGCCATGCCTTCACATAGCTAACACCTAGATCCTTTCTGCTGTATCCCCGCGCAAGGTTACGCATCACATACTTGTTGTAATCTTTGATAATCCTCATGATAATATCTGATGTCGAAATTCCATTTGTCCTCTTTGTTTCCTTGAATTTTCCTATGGACTTAACCTGAACACAAAGATTGTACAAAATTAAATGAGACTGGCATTCAAGATAAACCATAACAAACATGTCAACATATTTTCAGCGCAGAATGTTGCCAAGAAAAATGCACAGGAATATAAGGAAATTCGAGCAAGCACAGGGCGCTGGAGAAACGAGCTTATGCTCAATCAAGCAGACCACACATTGATGAAGACACAGGAATCAGGACCAAGATGCACCAGCTAAATGGAAAATGGGGTTTGGACTTTGACAGCACTTATCCTAATCCTAGTAAGTCAGGATGACAGAACTAGAATCTGGATGATCTAGATGTTTGACCCTCTCTAGTGAAACTGAGCCAATCAGCAGAAGGGAAAAGTGAGTCAATATACTGAGTTTCCACCAATACCCATGTTGAAGCAAAACTGAGAAACATAGATCAATATTGAATTAAACTGAGAAACATAGATCAATATTGAATTAAACTGAGAAACATAGATCACTATTGAATTAAACTTACATATTCGTAGACATCTTTCCCAGCACCACTTGCATCAGCATAACTACAATTTAAGATAAAGAGGCGGCAATTAGAATTCCCAAGTCTTGACACACATAACTATGGCATCAATATGTCTAAGTCATGCTTGCATATTTTATCTTTTAGATTTTCTCATTGTACCATCACGAATAAAGCAAGATAAAATTTATACCCAAGCCACTGACAGGCCACACACCTCAAGATAGAAGTTTACCATAATGTGCAGTGGACAGGCAATAGTAGTGTCCCATTCTACACCATACTAACTTTGATACTTATACTGAGTTTGAATGATTAAGAGGGAAGTTAGTCCTTACTCTTCACTTCATCCAAGTTTGATATAATTGCATGTTTAGGTTTTAAACTTTCAAATATTAAAGCAAGATGATTTTGCAAAATTAAATGAATTAAGGAATGTATGTCCTTGAAACTTGCGAAAGCCAAACTGGTGCTTGTCATATTGAACAAGAAATGGCTCGTCAAGGGGTTGCGGGCAGGCATGAAGGTGGACACTGCTGTTGCCGCAACAAGAATGCTGTCTTAGTTCAAGGCCAGAGTGTGGCAGGTTATGCTATTGGAGGTGTCTGCTACCTTTACCTAATATTAGAAACATCTAAATCTAATATGAACACTTGTCCAAATCTCATGTCAAGCTAAGTTAGAACAATGTATACCTAACCAAATATGTGTAATAGATAGCAAGAGAACTGGATGAATGACTAAGCAAAAGAGACACTCATCTAAAATTTGTCTATACTGAAATTGACGCCAAAAGTTTCATCCTGGATATGTGAGATTAACGCCATAAAGGATCCTTAGATAATTATAGGATGCCAAAAGAACATATTGTCTGCTTCACCCCTCTGATCCTATAGCATGATTCTGAGATTGAGGCATCCATTAAGTTGTACATGACTTCACATGGCGAAACTCAGAAATCACATTTGACCGATTCAAGGTAGAAAAAAGCCTATTCATCTTGGAAAAAAAAAAACAAATAGTTGTTAGGGAAGTTACAATTGATATTCCTAACCGTTTAAGATAATCAGGCTTTCAAGGAATTAGAAGTTAATCATTAGAAGAACTGGATGTACAAAAATTCTGCGAAAACTAGGTTCATGGCATATTCAATTATTTGACAGAGAACTTAGCACAGAAAATCTTAGCAGGAACTGCACAGCCATTACTAATAAGGATATCATGCATCTACATTGATGGGGGAGTCCCGTTAGATGGGGAAAGAAGTGAACGACTAAAGAAAAACAAGGATTGAACACTTCACGGATGCGAGATTCGTCCAGACAAGTTTCTAGCAATCAACAACATTTACTTGGGCTGATTAACCTTACGGAAGAGAGTCGTGTGCAATATAGTCGATTTGGTTCTTGTCCAGGAACTCTGGTGTGATCACCCATGGAGCATCAGGAATGACTTCATCTACCCACCTGCATGACAAAATGGAAAAAAAAAAAAGAGTGCCGCCTGAGAAATGACAAAAGATCGACCAGTTCACGTAGGAGGATGCCACCCATATCAACAGAAACAAATACTTTGAAGAACAAGGGTAAAGAGCAGGAACTTATTCCTCCCTAGAATTCAATGTGTTAATGAGAGTCGGAATGCTACAAGTTCGAACCAGTTAGAAAAATAAAACATTCATACTTAGTCCCTTCTTCCACCACACGGCAAGTAATGAAAAAAAGCACAGACAAACAGTAGCAAGTAACTAACATATCAACTTGCTACACTTTCCAGAGGCGAAAACAGAGGCAGTAAGCCTACTTGCAGTGGCGGAGAGATTCGTAGCGCTCCTGTTCATTCATGACGGTCTTTCCCTTATACTTGTGCGTGAGCTCATCATTACAGCATCCGACGAGCAGGTAAGTATTAGGAAACCTACAAAACATACAATTGAGGGAAGAACTCATGAACCGGGAAGACATCTGCAAAGGACCCAGAAGCATAAGAGCACAAGATTACAAGACTGGCAAGTTAAAACAAATTGGTCCCGGTAGTCTTAGATATTGAGCTTCTTCAATGCCAAACTACACCCAACTATACTTCAAAACTCAGACCATGAACTGTGATCTGACAACACATCCAAAATGAACCTACAAGACTACGAAAAGCTAGCCAAGAAGCGGATCACTTGCAGGGGATGATGAATACACTCATGGGACGTTTACGGCACGTGGGTACGAGCTAATGTCAATGTACGTCAGGAACACAGAGTATGTCTGCACACAGAACAGAAACTTGCAAGGATGGAGGTGAAAAGTACAGCTTCTTGGCCTGCTCGAGGGAACGGGCGTGACCGTAGTGGAAGAGATCGTAGATGCCGTCGGCGTAGACCCGGACGGGACGCTCCTCCGTAGCGTGGCTCCGCTGCTCCTCTTCTTCTCCCATGGCCATCACCTTCCCTCCTCCTCCTCCTCATCCTCCTCCTCCCTTCTTCTTTCTTCTTCGTCAAAGCAACATCGTGCCCACTGTCGCTCTCGCTCGCTCTCCATCGACGCTAACATGGAATATTCCTCTGCATGTACGGTACTGCGTTGATTGACCGCTTGACTCAGCTCATGCTTTTACGTGATTGGCCGTCCGATTTAGAACCAAAAGATCTCGTCCGTCCAAGCAATCTTAAGACATTCCCTGACTGATAATTTAGTAACATCTAACATTTATTACTGATCCCAGAATTGTAAATGTTACAATGGATTGCAAAAAAAATTGCGGCAATCAAGGAAATTATTTTTAAAAAGGTTTGATTAATTTATGAACTTAAAAAATAATGTTACCATCATTTAACCAAATCTATTGAGAATAAGGAAAGATTTTACGATAAATTCGCGTTGCTTATTATTTCCCAAGTGAAGTAACGATCATTAAGACTTTATAGCTTGCGAGAACCTGAGGTAATTGATTATCGATAAAGGTACATTAGTAGCCGTCATTTACATGGACTTAAAAGGTAAATCACGACTATCGAGAGCCAATTACTGTTCTTTGGCTTACGATGATTCGAGATTGGCACTGCTACTGCATCGGTTAATTACTAAGGCGATGGCATTCTTACTTTACCAACTATATACCTAAGCTACTTCTCGAAAAGGAGAAAGTAGCAAGCTGTATGTTCAGTTGAGATTAGGACAACTTCAGACAAATTACTATCACGGAAGGTGGAATTGCAAAGAACATGAGCTATGAATTATCACCTCCTGACCTTGTTTTGCTCTTGCTTAGGCATAATTGCATAGAAACCACCTCTTTTTTCCTCAAAACAGTATTGGACAAGGTTGGTACAATCCGGACACTATGAACAGAACAGCAAAAGAATGTATTGTGAAGTCAAGAATGGAACTGGAGATACAGCACCATCTCGCATGAAGGGCGAAGCCGATGCTTTGCATTACATCACATAGCTCGATCACAGGCTGCTGGGCTCAAGAGGACCCCCGACCCGTTATTCAGCCGCCTGATCATTTGTGTGCGGCGGAGGCGGAGGCGGAGGCGGAGGCGGAGGCGGACCGCAAGTGCGAGGCCGGTCGTACGCTTCCTTCCCGGGCTTGGCGATCTCTACGTAAATCACCCTGCCCTCGAGTTTCTGCAAACGAAAGAGATGATGAAGATGATGATGGGGCAATGGATTGGAAGAGAGCGGAGGAGGGGATGGTGAGACACCTTGCGGTCCATGTTCTCCAGAGCAAGCACCGCATCGTCTTGGCAGGTGTACTGAATGAAGGCGTACCCTCTCGACTGTTTGGTCGCTTCGTCCTTGGGGACTTTGACTGTAACCAAGAACCAGATCAGACCCACCACAGACATTCGCATTCCAAGCTCGATAACGCAATCAAATTTGGAACAGAGGCTTTTACCTTCAGCGACGTGTCCGAAAGTGGAGAACTCCTTGAGCAACCTGCTTTCGTTCAGGGAATAGGGTATATCTGGCGAAAGAAACAGAACCCAAACAAAGCTTCTTCAATAAGTATGCGCGATCTTTGATCAATTCTATCCTCTGTAAATCTACCTCAAGAGAAGAGATGTGGGGGAACATTCACTTACTCCGGACCATGATTCGGCTGGCGAGAGGGTAGTCGAAGAAGGAGGCCCTCACTCTTAGGTCCTTCCTCTTTCTGCTGAATTTGTCCGAGCTGGTGGAGCCATAGGAGGCACAGGAGAGGGACGGAGGAGCGGGGATTCGGGTTGGTATTGCCCACATGACTCGTGAGAGAAAATGGAGGCCACCCAACTTTGGAGGGAGTTGCGCAGTTGCAGAGACAGAGGCAGAGACAGGAGAGATGGGGTTCTTTGTGGGTGAGCTCAGCTCCAAGTGTTACTGGGCTTAGGGGTTAAGCTGAGGCCCAAGTTACAAAAAGAAAAACAATCTTTCTTTCCACCAAAACATACAAGGAAAGATGGAACGATTTCAAACATGGCAAATATGAAAATTCATGAGGGAACACAATCCCATTTCACTCTAAGGGAATTAAACATCTCTGTTTAGGTTAGATTTTATGACTGGATCGCCAGTGATGTATAGAACAGGAAGAAGAGCACACGTGCTGCAATGGAGCTTTTATGTTTGTGCGTACGACCAAAGTGCCTCCACAACTTCACATACTCTTCTTCTTTGTTCTCTGGGTTTGCCATCTTCACATACTCTTAAGCTTCACTATACGATGATGCATCCATCCTCAAACTTCAAACATGGAAAATATGAAATTCATGATGGAACACAATCCCATTTCACTTCAAGGGAATTAAACATCTCTGTTCAGGTTAGATTTTATGACTGGATCGCCAGTGATGTATAGAACAGGAAGAAGAGCACTCATGCTGCAATGGAGCTTTATGTTTGTACGCAAGACCAAAGTGCCTCCACAACTTCACATGCTCTTCTTCTTTGTTCTCTGGGTTTGCCATCTTCACTTGCTCTTAAGCTTCACTATGCGATGATGCATCTCTCCTCAAACTTCTTGTAATCGCATGCAGTTTTAATAATAAGAGTATGAACCAATAGCAACAGCAAACTATTGTGATCCACAAATGCGCTAAGCGTCTCAAGAATGAAGGGAATACTTCAAGTGATGAGTTTCAAATCGATTAGTACTATTCATCCCTCCACAAAAGCTCTCAATTCTCACCTGTCGCACAACGCGGGACCGAGAGATGTTGCCGAGAGTGACTTTTGTTGATTGTTGTGAAATGACGCAAAAACTAACGGATTTTACGATTCGAGTCCAATGCGAGATAAGAAAAATTACTAGAGAAATCAATGATGAACGATAAAGACACTAAAAATTTAAGTGATTCGGTCCAAGTGCCGAAACCTACTTTTTGGGATCGCTAGCCGCCAAGTAATCCGTCATCCCTCAAGTGTTTCCCAATCCCCAATCACACCCAAATCAAACCACATATATTATTCCACAATCTCTCACCGAAAAGTCAATTAGAAACTCACAAAAAGAAACCCTAATACTCGTCTTGTTTGATCCGGTGTCTGTTCACCAAGTAAAATTTTATCTTATACATATACATAATAGTTGAATCCAAAATAAGAAATCTCTTTTAGTAAATATTTTCAAACTAGAAAACTACTCAAATTTGGAAATCTAATTGAACCAAATTTCTTTTACAAGCTCAAACTCGAGATATGTTCTCAATAATGACTAATCCTCACAAAGAGAGGCACATTGGCGTTTATGTTTGTTGATGTAGGAGCTGCGAGAAACTCAAACCACTCTCTCGTGAAATAATAATTTTACAATCGTATTTATCAAAGAAAAAGAACAAAAGACAAAGTAGTCATGCCATATGCAAATCCTACGGAAGCCAGAATTAGAGGCATATATAAGTAAACTACATCTTGAGTGCTGCAAAGAAAGACTGTGCAAAGACTAAAGATTCTGAAGAACCGGTGTAGGTTCAGTACATGCTAACCAAGTATGTTTTAGTTGGTTGACATCATTGTGGGTCAAGAATGAAGCTAGCTAGCTAAACTTGGAAAGGGAGATCGTCCATGGGATACCCACTGAGGATATCCTCCGTCGCGTCCATGAAGTTACCAGACAGCGGCATGGTCGAAACAAAAGCATCATTAGTGTTGGTTACCTCATTGAACGAGGAATTAATCATACTTGCATACTCTGATTGCTCCTGGTGCAATTGCTGTGATGGCCTAGCTTGTTGCTGGACTTGGACACCATAGGAATAATTGTTCCGAAGAGATGCCTCCGCAGAAGAGACTACCTGATGCTCATGCCCCAAACCCATGAAACTCAAGTTGAGCGGGCTGCTGCGATGGGTCGACCCGAAAGAGATGGAGGTGCTCGGGCAGCCAGTGAATTGCTGGACCAGGGATCTGAAGTTGGTGGTGTTGGCATTAAGGATGGTTGTGGGAGTCCTCCTTGATGCTCTTGATCTTCTTCTGGTTGGCTTTGATTGACTCTTGATGATGTTGTTGTTATTACCGGTGGGGTTGGTGCGATCTTGATCGATGTTGTTGCTTGAGCTCATGGGGGTGACAATGGTGGAGTCAACAAATTCAGCCTGTGGATCAACGCTCTGCTGGTAATACTGAACCCACTCATCACCTGTGTTGGTCATGACTCGATGATCTTGATGATCTCTTTCTTATTCAAAGTTTCACGCCACTTGTCTTGAAAGGATTAATTAAGAAAGAGCAAGGCCTGCCATCCAAGGCATTATATAGTGATTTAGAAAGGGACAAAGTTGTGTTCAAAGGTAAGACATGTAAACTCTTTGACCATTCCTATGAGACTGAGAGAGATTGATTTAATGGCAAAAGGGATATGGATAAATATGTGAGGCTTCCAGGAAGCAACATCTGCTAACATCAGTGAGGTCATCCCTCGTCTCTCCCTTCACTATCTTATGCTGTATGTTTTGGTATGTGTTTGGAATTTTTAAGGGTTTTAGTCAGAATAATCTTAATCAGAAATCAACGACTGATGAACGGTTTCAGGAACTTTTTCCATACAGAATTGAAACTTCGTTTCCGTAGTTGTTAAGAGTTGGCGGAAAATAGGAATCCCGCAGCTAGCTTTCAGAGTTCACGGGGAAACCTAAAAAATTTTGAGCCTGTCATTCACATATAGCTTGCTACTTGTCTATGCCTCGCCCTCTCTATCTTCTTCCTAATCCTTAAAGTGTAGATGTGATAAATTATGATCCTATGGTTCATTTCACATTTGCTGTTGTTCATGATATGTTGTAGCACATTCGTCTTGGCAACGTATCATCTGCAAATAGAATAACTAGAGCTGCGCGTACGATTTCTTAAAAGCACAAGCAACATCCCATGTAATAACTTGTTACATTTAATCAAACACCTTTGAAAAAACCAAAATTACATCTTTCATACGCTTGTAATTGCAGTGATTTCTAGATTATCGATGGCTCATGTGATTGCAATTATTAGGGTGAAGTTCATATGTTGATGTCCATAGTTATGCGTAAATAAGTTCTAGTTACTCAATCACATCACAAATACACAGCTTAACTTGTCATCCAATTGATGTACATAGGGTTATGTCGTCCCTTAATATACTAGTATAATTAAGCAAGGTCAAAGCATTATCTAGAAAGATGGAAATGGTCCAAAATGAGGCTGTGCAAAACACTAGGAGAGACTATAGCTTAGAAAGCAAGCATATTAGATATGTGATTTGACCAAAGGGCTACACGCCTTATCCCCTGCCAAATCACACCGAATCCTTTTAATTATAGACCTTTCACATCAAGTGAATTTCCCTCGTTTTTAACAAATCTCGGATTCTCTTTTCACATGTTTCACAATCCAAATTAATTAAATAAATCGATCCTTCTTAACAATAATTCTAGATTATATCAAGACTTGTACCGCATTAAGAGTTCTAATTACAGCTGAATGGGCTTTCTGTACTTGCATTATCAAGACAGGGTGGCAAGGATGGAATTGGATGCTCATAAAATTTCAAGCATGATGTGATGTATCATGTTATAACTGTGGCGACCGTGACATACAAAGCCCTTTTTTTTTCTATAAGATATACAAAACCATTTGGACCCAAGTTCAATTCTCTCTTGTATGCTAAGCTACACAATTTACTAATAAATTTTCCCTTGTTCTCTTTTAGGGCTTCAATATTCTTTGCACATGTCTTTGACCATTGGTTTTGACAAGAATGTGAACGCGATGACCTGAGAGCACAAGCTGACGCGGAGGATGATGCAATGAGGGCACTAAATATATTGTCTGGAATCATATGCCTTTATGACCAATCCTCGAGTCCGTCGACTTGGTCGCTTTCCTGTTACCTAAATGCGTTGATTATTAGGAAGTCAGTCTGCGCAGAGTTTGACGTTTATTGTGCCCTAATACACTATTTGTTTTCGTGTCACGTGTAATCAACACTCCGAAAATCAAGTGCTTGTAACCCGGTTGACAAGAACCTTACAAAAAAGAAAAATTCTTCGTATGACGCTTAATTGATATTTACATGAGTAAATGTCGTGAAATGGAATGATACAAGGGCGACAATTGCACATTATCACAGGCAAAGTTGATGTTGGTCTGCTCTGACGGAACAGTCAAACTTCAAGAAAAGAACGCCGAAAGTTGAAGACTTTGGAAGTTGGGATTTGACCACCAAGTGTGGTTCCCACCAGCTATTGGTGCGTGCTTTCTACACAACTATTCTCTGAATACGCTTCATTCGTTTGAATGTCCAGATACAATCTATTACATGGCGTAGTATGTTAATTTTGCAGACGGGTTCTGGCATACCTGTTGCTTTAAAGACCAAAAGGAGACCTGGGTCTTATTTTGGTCTTAGGCAGCGTTCATGTCCACCAACCTCATCAAGTTTTATGTGCATTGGAGTCTTCCTGGTTTAAACAACCTGATGTTAACAACTACGCCTAGGAAGCGATCGTGCAAACTCGTTATCGGCAGTGTACAAATCATAAGCAAACTTATGAGGGTGGAGTCGAGTCTACCTTAAGATTTCATAATTGTCTGCAGACCACGTAAAGATCTTGCGGCTCTTGGCGTTCTCGTTCAATATCTTAGTCAAAGGATGAGTTGAACTGAAAACAGATGCATGACGATAGATCTCAGGTTTGTTTCTGACTGATTAAACTTGAGCAGTTGCAGATTGCAATTGCAGCAAACTGACTCCTCCAGGTGCAGGCATGGTGGTAAGTTAGTGAAGAGAAGAGCACAGAAAGGGGTTTAAGCCAGATCTTTTCTTTCTTCTCATTCTCTGCAAATCAACCCAAGGGCAAGCAGAACAGAAACCCCAAAGGAGAGAAAAAAATTTACAGTATATTTTATGCATGTGACATTTACATTCAGTGGGGTGGAAAAATTACACCCCCATCATCATAAAGTGAAAAGAATATTTAAAAAGTGCACAAAATTGGGATACTCATTTCCATTCACACACATTGTATCCCATTTTGTGTCCTCACTCACTAAGCTGAAAGCTACAACAACATTCTTATCCCCGCAATTTCCTTTCTTTTTTTTTCCCCTCTGAAAAATCTCTCTATTATTCTCCTTTCTTGTCTACTCTACAGTTATTTCCAGAATAGTCGTGAGTCTGGGCTTTTTGTATCTTCTAAGGAGTAAAGAAGAGCACACAACACTCACAGACGAGAAAGCCATGCACGCACCAGCCACCCACGGCGGCAACACTATCCTCAACCAAGGGAAGAAAACACCGGCCGCAACCGGTATCGCAATCACGTTGTAGGCCATTGCGAAGACATAGTTCCAGCGGATTCGTGCAAAGGTCTTCCTAGATAGATCAATGGCTGTAATCACATCTTCTAGGTTGTTCCTCATAAGAACATAGTCGGCAGCTTCTATTGCTATGTCAGTCCCTGCCCCAATAGCCATGCCCACATCCGCAGCAGCTAGAGCAGGAGAGTCGTTGATTCCGTCACCAACCATAGCAACAATACTCCCATCCTTTTGGAATGAGCAAATAACTTCCGCTTTTCCTGCTGGCATTACCTCCGCCCTCACATCTTCTATGCTGACCTGCACATGGATGAGAAACATCAGACGTTGAGCATTAAGCACATAAGTAGGATATTTCCCATAGACAAGATGATTAGCCATCAAACACAAATATAAAGATTTGTTTCACTCAACGTGAAGTTATATATCAAATCTGTAAGAAAAATAGCACAAGGCCAAATTATCCATGTCAAATCTCTTGAATGCTTTTAAGAGGTTGAGCCAAAATATAGGCACATATTGAGTTGTGAGAGAAAAGTAAGAAGAATTCATATGTATTATCCACCAAGTCCGCAAACTCCTGCAAATGCATTTAAAACCCTGGATAGTAGAGTGATCTCTACGCACCTCCTTGGCAACAGCCCGAGCTGTCCTCCAGTTATCCCCTGTCACCATTACAGGCCTTATACCCATCTTCTTGAGACCTTCTATAACCACAGCAGCTTCCCTTTTCAGCGGATCTGCAACCCCCAGAACACCGATCAAGGCATCACCAGATGCAACAAGTATGCCTGTTTTTGCACTTTCTTCAAGGTCTACAACAAACTTTTCCACATGAGTTGGAATGGCAATTCCACTTTCAGCCAACAGCTTCCGATTGCCAACCTGTCAAAGTTATGTGTCCAACAAGTATATTAACATGCTATCAAAAGGCATATTATTGAGTTCAGCAGCAAAACTTTTAAATCTTCACTTCCGAAAACTCACCAGTACTCGCTTCCCTTCAATAAAGCACTGAATTCCCTTTCCTGGAAGAGCAGAAAACCCTGTGACATCCTGGAGCCATCCAGAAATCTTTGACTCCTTGGAGTTTGTAGCGTCATCAGTTTCAGAAGGATCATCAAAGAAATGGAAATGGCGAGCATACTCCACAATTGCTTTCCCCAGAGGATGTTCACTGCTAGCCTAGTTGAGATAAGTATAGAAAACAATTAAAAAGAAATGTCGAGAACAAAGTCCAGAATATCAGCATATAACAAATCATTTAAACCACAGCCTACATCACCAGATAAGCCAATGCAAGCAGAGTTCTGCAGTATGACCTTGGGCACTTGAAAGTCTACAGACCAACTTTAGGTCCACAACAATTGCAGACTAGGAAAGTTTCTATTTAAAGTCAGCTTTACCACGAGACTAAATGAGCATCTAAATTAGCTTAACTTACTGAAGCAGTTAGGTATCATGTTCCAGGGCAATGATATTGCAAATATAAAATGCATGCATAATTCTACAAATCCATTACCCAAATCATGATTTAAGTACCCGTTTTCGTTAAATTTCCGTAGGTGATAGTACTTTTTCAAATGTTTTCTTAAGGGTTGAGGATTAGTAGAATTTGTCCTAAAATAAGCCCTGTGCAAATCTAGATGGTTCAAGATATGATCCTCACAAAATCAGTTCAGACTCTCTATACAGTGATGACATTATAATAACAGATGTATATGGTCCTGTTCTATCTTGGCGTTGAGTTTTCTAAAATGTCTGCATCTGCAATTCCATTTGAACAAAGTACTGCCATGTGTGTGGATTTCTCTCTCTTTCTGTTCTTTCTCTCCAGGATAAAGGGAGAGCAGGGACTTGAATAAAAGAAAAAATACTTACCTCTGCAGAAGCCACCAAATTGAGGAACTGTCCGCGGTCCATCTCGTTGAAAACTTTTGCCGTTGTAACAGTGGCTTTCCCCTGTGTAAGGGTGCCTGTTTTATCGAATATTACATACTTAACCTTCTGGGCACTCTCCAAAGCCTCTCCACCTTTTATCAACACACCATTGTTAGCACCAACCCCTGTTGCCACCATCACAGCAGTAGGTGTTGCCAACCCAAGGGCACAAGGGCAAGAAATAACTACTACTGATATTGCGAACATCAGGGCAAGAACAAAGTAATTGCTCTTATCTGGCAGCCACTCTTCTGGATAAGCTCCAAAAGCGCCAGCAACATACCTGTAGACAAACAAAGAGGGCCTTGGTGATTATGCACACCTATCACATATTATCCAGTGAGAAAACTACATTAGCTTTTGCGGTTTGATCCCTGATTTTTAAAACCGAGATTTAACTCTCTGCTGTTCATTTTCGTGTAATTTTGATACTCTGACCTTATTTGCGTTGAGTTCGGGTTACCATTCTCGCGTGTTACAAAAATATGGGGTATTAACGGGTCATATCTTGACTGTCTATATAGTTTTGGTAACTATGTTGTGATTCAGCTAAGCCATGTGGAAGAATTATGAACCAAATTCAACACAAATAGTGGTGAAAGATCATAATAGCACAAAAATGAAGGCTTAAAGAATAGTTACCAAATTACAGAAAAGGCCAGCTAGGGACTATGAATGTTGTTTTCTCTTATCTAATCATATAGAAAGTGGACCAAAAGTAGAACAAGTCAGGTGTTGTACTCACCAACCCAAAAATGTAAAAAAGGACAAAGCAACAACAGTGGGGACAAAGATGCTAGCAATCTGCAAGTAGAAAGAACAAATTAATCCACAAACCAGAGAAACTGCAAGTCAACAACATAAAGCACTCTACATTATATGAAGCTGCAATTTGCAACCATAAAATTCTAAAGTTCATAGAGCAGATAGCTTTATTATCGACCAATGCCCCTTGATAGTCTGAAATTTGCTTTAAAAAGAAAATGCGCAATGCACATGAGTGCTGGAGTCAACAATTTAAAATAGTGACCCGAAAACCTCGAGTGCCATCACAGATAGTCATACTTTCTCTTTTCTATTTAAACTGCCATCAACTACCCTTCTTTACCCCCCTTCTCTCTTTCTTCTCAACATAGAAGACCACACAAGCAAAGATAGCCCCAAAAACACTAGAAATAAAGAACACCAAGTAATACTCATTCACCAAATGACCAAACTGGTTTTCCTGTCCACTCCAACATCCCAAACTTCGCCCTCCCATCAGCTCTCATTACTACTACTAAACCACCATCCACATGTCAAATAAAAACACCTAAATCTGGGTATTGATTATGCTTTTGATCCATACCACTAGCATCAGAAAAGGGGCTAACATCTCTAAGTCAACACTAAATGCCTTCAAAACCTCTATCAACTTCAAAGGAGCAACCCAAAAACAGCTGTCCTCATCGTTATTCATAATGCCAACATTATATCAAGCAAGGATACTGCCGAAAGATTAAGTCTTCAGATGTCTCCATTTCAGACCTTCTCAAAGTCCTAGACCAGAGAGATGCAGTTGAAAATAAATCCAGGGTCGATTGAATAGTTTGTTTCAGTTGAGATGATATTCATCTTCACATGCATTGGCACCTTGCAGATGTTATCTTCTAGTTTCCGTTGGATATGAGAGGGAGAAAGTGGAAAGTGACAGAAAGTGAGTGCATCAGCATTACTTTGTGTAGAATGTCTTCATCATTTATGTCAAGGCGAGGTTAACTGTTTCAAGCCATATGCCATTAACATGACACAACTATATCTGCTTCTTACATTAATTGTTGACATATGGAACCGATAACGAGAGATGATTCTAGCTGCAATTCGGAACTCTCAAATGACCCTGGACCTCATTATCTATCATTCCAGGAATACAAATGCTCAGCATATGACATTTAAAGACCGGAAAGCCAGAACCAAAAACCGACAGAATTTTAATAAACTGCACATAGAAGAAAGTTTCTCACTGTAAAAGAACTTGGTCCATTAGCACTACTATCTCCTCCAAAACCGATTATTAGTAACAGCATGAAGACATAATTCTCAAAATGCTCCTAATAATCAATACAACATATCCAGAACGCTCAAATCCTTCCAGCATTAATTTCACACGATGATTAGAATACTCCAGTACCGACTTCACACTACAAAAGGATTTGAAGAGTCACACAAAGGGCAAAAAAGTCATTTGCTATGAGTACTAAAGCTTTCATTTACCAAGATTTATCTAAACAAGGAAATTTATCAAATATGTCAGAACTTTGCCTTGTTAAAGTACTTACAAAATCAGCAAACTTCTGTATAGGAGCTTTGGACATCTGTGCTGTCTCAACCAAGCTAATGATCTGACTCAAGACCGCATCACTTCCTACTTTGGTAGCTCGAATGTGAAGGGCACCGTGTAAATTGATTGTGCCTCCAATGACTGACAAATTGACCTCCTTCAGAGCAGGGACAGATTCACCAGTTACCATACTCTCATTAACATAACTAGATCCCCATTCTACCGTGCCATCAGCAGGAACCTTTGTACCAGGCAGAACTTTCAATATGTCACCCGGCTGAATCAGCAAAGCATCTATTTCTCGTTCACCTATACACCTTCCTCCTGCGACATCAATAATTTACTCCAATTTACTATCAAAAGAATTCAATCTGCCACTCAGAAAAAAACGGTGCCATAATTATTAGGTTGAGCATCGAATATCTAAAGCTACTCTCAATTTAGTCACAAGGAAGTACAATAACCTTTGTCCTTGTCAAGCAGCAATGCTGTTGCAGGTGCAAGTTCCACAAGCTTTTTGATGGCATCAGATGTTTTCCCTTTTGCAAGAGACTCCAAGTATTTCCCCAAGAGTACAAAAGTTATCAGCATGGAGCTTGTCTCAAAGTACGTAGGAGACCAAAACCCAGTAAGTGCACCATAAAGAAGTGCACCAACAGAATAGAAGTAAGATGCCGAAGTTCCCAATGCAACCAAGACATCCATATTAGTTGAACCATTGCGCAGAGCTCTGCCGGCTGCAACATAGAAACGCCTGCCGATCACAAATTGCACGACGCTCACCAATGCCCACTTCAACCAATCACCCATTAAAAAAGGTCCACAACGCCATAGCAGTAGAGAGTAGACCATTGGTATTCGAGGACAAACTACCCGAATGAGAAAGACCGGAATCTACAGCCAATACATCAAGCACAAACCGTTAAGACTTAAATGAACAACAAAAAGGAAAACGTTGACAAGAAAGCAATGTCTAAAGTTTGGACCCTGAATTAATCCTTCACCCACATATTACTCTAAACATCCTTAGAATGAGTGATCCCGACATATATGTTAATGACCATTGATCGAGGAAGTAACAATTCCATCGAAGAAGAAAACATGCATCCAAAAGGAAGAGCCTCCTCTTCAAGGCGACCACACAACAGAAACAAGAAGGTGAGAACACATCTTTCTCTTAGTAGTGTGGAATGATAAGGCAAAGAGGAAATGGAAGAGATACTCACACTTAAAAATAAGCTAGATGTGAAAAGCCGAAACATGTTAGCTGTTTCTTCAACATCTTTAGAGGTCATCCTTGAATATGGGCTCATCACGTGTAACTTAAACTTGCCACTGCTCGCTTCCTCAATTGAGTCAACTAAGGAGCGGGAGGTCACAACTTCAGGATCAAAGAGAATATCGAGTTCTCCAGACGTCCCATCAAAGCGAAATTGTCTAACACCCTTTAAGCTGCTTAGTATGCCCTCTAGAAAATGCACATCCATCCCACTGAATACCCCAGTGACACCAAGAATGATCTTATCCTGTTGACTACTCTGCACCAGTGAAGCTTCAAAACCAGCATCTTCAATCGCTTCAACTATATCATCTTTACTTATTACGGCAGGATCGTACTCAACTTCACCTAATGATGTCGCCAATGCAACTACTGCTCCCTTGACACCAGGAAGACTTCTCAAGATACCTTCAACAGAATTAACACAGGCTGCGCAGGTCATTCCTCCGATAGTGAACTGACCCAAGAGAGTTTTTTGCTGCTTTGTTTTTGAAGAATTTGGTTCAGGCAGAATCTCTGCCTCAAAACCTGCATCTTCAATTGCATTCTTGATGTCTACTTCCTGAATCACGATGTAGTCACAAAAAACTGTCAAAAATAAGGAATAGACAACTCAGCACTTAATAAATAAGCTACAAAAGCAAAATTAGACAACAAATAGGCTAAGTAATGTCTTCTGCAGAGTTAAGTCACAATGAAGCATCTGCAGCCCACGTTGATTCAAAAAGAAGTGTTGGCCATGGCTCGATAAGTTAATCCCAATTGATTTGAAATCAGACCCATTATTAAAATTGCAATGAAACCCGGGCCATAATAGGAAAGTCCAAATTGGACTCTTGCCAACAGGACCATGGGCAATGCGAAAAGTTCACACTTTCCGCATTAGCAGTAAAGAGAAGGAAGTCATGTTGTTGCTCCAACACCACTGGAAGAGACATGAATTATGTCTCCCAATATCATACAGATGTAACTCGAATAGTTTAGTTTACCGGGAAAAGAAAATCCACAGAAACTTTTCCTTGTCAATGTTAATGAAGCCCATCGGCAGAATAGGTGAATAATCGCAGAATAAAAGTAAGGAATGATCCACGAAGGTTTCACCATTAATCTCTGTGACCCAGGCAAGATGCAATTGCAATGGAAATCTAGTATTTGAAACAAAGGGGTAATGCCAACTCAACCAAAAGAGAAGTACGAAGACTAGGACACTAACCAACAGCTGAAGTTGGAAAATTAACTTAAACAAAGCTGGAAGGAGGCGATCCTCCCGCGATTACCTGATCTAATTGCGAGGAATAGAAAGAGCAAGCAAAATTGGCTTTGATCAGAGGACTGAGCTCACGAGCTACTAAAAAAAAACCAACTTCCCAAGCTTCGAATGCACAAACCAACTAAGTCTACCAGCGATCCACGACCCATCTCCAAACTTCGCAAAAGACGCACAAAGCAAAAAGAGGAGGAGGAGGAGCAGAGAACCAAGGAGCATCAACCGACCTCGACCAAACCAGGATCGTAGACAACGTCCGCCTTGCTCTGCAGCAGGGCCACGGAGGCTCGCAAGACGCCGTCGACGCCCCGGAGAGCTTCCTCCACGGAATTCGAGCAAGCGGCGCAGGTCATCCCGGTCACCCTCACCTGAACCATCCTCATCCCTCCCTCCCCGGCGCTCCCCGGGGAGTTGTCCTCGTACGAGTCGAGGAGCCTCACGTCCTCGAGGTCGCCGCCGCCCCCCTCCAGGTCCTCCCCGCCGGCGTTGGCGGCGGCGGCGCCGCCGCCGTGGAGCCGCGACAGCTGGAGGTCCGCGAAGCTCGGCGCCATCGGTAGCCGGAACCGGTACCGGAGCTCGGGGATCTCCCGATCGGAACGCGAAGCGAAGGGGGAATCGACTGTTCGACGCTCACCGGAGTTTCAAAGGGGCGGGGGGAAAAGAGGAAGACGTTTCTTCCTATTTTCTGGCTCCGAGAGGGAAGGGGAGGGAGAGACAGCGGCCACGTTTTAACGGGGGCACGACCGGTGGATGCCGCAATTACGGTTGTGCCCCTCCGGGGGAGTTGTTTTTTCCTCCGCATTGACCATCTTGCCCTTCCAATGTGTGTCGTACTACCAGTGGTTCTGGTTCTGGTGGGGGAAGTTGTACTGCAAAGTTCGTGGGCGGTGACGATGGATACGTGTGATAGTTTTCGGGTTGAGATTTACGAAGAGTTTGGCGACAAATTAATTTCTTTTTTTTTTCCTTCTTGACAAAGAAGCCCAACCTTAAATATTTAAATTAGTCATAAAATGCAATCTAAATTTCAAGTTGAGATGCCTAGAATGATATATCATCTATACTTAATCGTGAAAAATCAAACTCATACAATAGCCACGGGAAGGGGAGAAAAAGAAAACGAACTTGATGGAAGGATCGCGGGCTTTTTGAATTCGATTTCGACGTCCATATATTATCTTTGTGATTGTATTAGCTACTTCCAAGGTTCTTAGCATGTTCATCGAAAAGATTTTTTTTAGGAAAAGGAATGCATTTTTCTTCTCAATAATTTAACGGTCTAAGCTTCTAGATAGCCAATGGGTAGCATTTATTATATTAAGAAAACGGAATTTCTCAAAGAATTTTTATTAAATGGCAAGCCTCTGTGATGTCGAAGGAGGAGTGGCGGTGTGCAACCAGTGCAGTCCGTTATGGGAAAGAAAAAACCGAAAAAAGGAACATCGACGTGGGGGATTAAAGTGAGAAAAAAGTGGGGACTTGCTATTCCGGTGAGGGGGCGAATTTAAGAATTAAGGAAGAATTTGGGTAGGGGGGAACAGGTGGAAATGGGAAGAGGGTTAGATGAGCAAATCCCACCCGACAAAGTCGCATTGTTTTCTTACCTTCTTTTTTATAATGAATTTGCAGAGATGGGTCCCTGTCGTCGGACCTAACTGATGTAGACTCTCTCTTCTCTTCTCTTCTCTTCTCGTGGTGGTGTAGCTGCTGCTGGTGGTGTTGTTGCTTTGATGCTGAGTCAACAACAGCAATTTCGTTCGATGAGAACCGTGGGAAAAAAGGTAACGAGGCTTTGGGTAATTTTCTTTCGATTGTGTTTTGAGGGAGATGCTCAGCCACGCTTGGGAGGAGAGAAGACGAGACAAGACATGGCTTTGCCTTCAAGAAATCGGGGACGTTCTTTCTCCAATCCCCATGTTTTTCTCCACCAAATGATGAGACACAAATTATTTTCGATAATGAAAATATTTTTTGTTAACTAATTATTTTAATCGATACAAATAATTATTTTTTTAGGAATATGTTTTACGAACCATTTATTTTCCGTGAAATAAATGAGCTCCTTAGGATGTTAGAATTGATAAAAGCGAATTATCTTTTTGTGCTTCTCAAAGCATATCGATAAAAAGTTGTCGGCTCGAATGAATCGGGTGCGGTTGAGAGAACTGCTTAAATAAGCTTTCGAAAGGACTTAATTGTTAGAAACGGGAAATTAGAAAATATAGCGAAAGTATCTATCGTCGCGGACACACTCGTATGATTTTATCGACAAATGTTGCGTATACTCATTTTAAATGTCTAAAATATTATAGGAACGGCGATTATCCGACGCTGTTTTTTCAAATTATAAAAACCTCGTGTCAAAAGAGGGAAGGTATATTTATTAGCGCATTAGTTTGTTTAGGCACAATTATCGGGGAATTTATTATAATAAATATAATGATTATAATAACTATGATAATAATAATTATTATTATGTGATTAACCACGCGCACACACACGTTTTTTTTATGGGTCACGTGCCGGCAATGTGGGTGGGCCCATGTCGGAACGAGATGCCTCCAAAGAGACCACGGCTGGCCACGTGACTCGCATGTCCTTTTTCTTCATTTGAATAATGCCAAAAAGAAAAGAAAAAATTACTGCATTTAATTAACGAAATTGAATTTTTTTTTTTGTAAAGTAATAGTAACGCGTAACTTGGTCTCAATAGATTTTTCAGCATCCCCCGTCTATTTGAATAATCACGAAAATTATATAACGTTAATTCGTAAATCGTTCATATTCATCTTGATTTTCCCATGGAAAATGCTCGCAATGGAGGGGATCGGACCGACGGACAAGGGTATTTTGGGTGTTACGGAAGATGCCTCGAGTGATTTTCTCCTCCTCTTCTTACCCTACGAGTTTCTTCGCCGGCATTGTCAAAAGGGCGTTTGACCGTTCTACCCTCCTAGCTAAAACATACGTCTTCGGTGTTGATCTCTTGACAAACTCATGCCCAAAGACATGTTCAAAATCACTTTCTCCATGTTTCTCTTTTCAAGACCACATACGCGTGTATTGGCGTATGTATAGCTGCGGGGTCCTCTTTTCAATCACAATTATTAAAAAAAAAATATGAAGGTGGTCGATTCAACGCATTCCCGCGTCTAATGAACAAAAATTCGACACATGACTTGCATATTCATGATCGACTTAAGATAGTTGATGAGGCTTATGATCGTGCGATATCAACTTCTTTTAGCTATGAAATGATCTAAGGGTGCATATGCGACGGCCTTGTGCTTTTTAGATAGTTTTAATGCATCAAGGAAGTTATTATTATCCTTATCTTGCATTCTATGATCCTACACTTCAATCTGCATTTATCAGATAGCCTGGATCCGACGTTGATTTCCGAGGTCCGTCGTGAATCCAACGGGCTAATAAAGTGTCGAAGGAGCAATTATTATAGTCAAAGGAACGGCACCTAACATCAAGCAAGTAGTTAGTACTGTCCCGCGAGGCAATGAACACACGCATTGCCTACAAAAATCATGTGGGCAAACTCATGCTTCTCAAGTGTGCAATAAGTTCGAAGGAAAGCTCTCTTACTTTCCTTTTCTACATCTCTGTGGGTTTGCAAAGCACTTCCACTTTCGCGACGGATCACAGAGCTGGTCAATGGACTTTGCTTTTTCGCGAGTGCTTCTTATCTGCAAAGAGAAAGACAGTAGGCCGAAGTGAATGTATATGGAGCGCCGTGTTCATCGTGATCGTCGTGATGATATGCAGAAAATGCGCTCCGAGGTGGCACCAAAGATCGTGCCGCTTTTTATCTTTAGCAAAGCTTGATCTGGTGGGAGGGAGAGAAAGTGGGTCAAGAGCAAATTAAGAGCGACGACACTGAAATTTAGGAGGAATCAAATCGCAAGTTCTCGGATCATGTGGACGTCCTTGCTTTTAGTGGAAGTTTTTTATGGCATGCAAAAGCTCTGAGATCTCATGGGCCAATAAGGGAGGTGGGTTGAAAAATGACATTGTTTCCACTTAGCAAAAAGCAGATAGAGAAAGCCCACAAAAAAAAATTTCGGAGAAAAGTGCATTGGGAGTCCTAAAACTCGTCACGAACATATAATTGGGTCCTAAATTTGTCAAAAAAATATAAGTCCTGAAATCGATTGCAATTTTTGAAAGTTTTAGAACTCGATTACACTTTCGTGACGAGTTTTAGGACTTCCAGTGTACTCATCTCTAAATTCTACGTAAGGGAGAGAGAGAGAGAGAGAGGAGGGAAGGGAGGGACCTAATTCGATGTCACGCAGCACGTCAATACAAAAGGCCATAAGAAAATGGAACTCCAAATCCTCCCACCAAATTCAGCTTCATCTTCTTCTTCTTTCTTGCGTGTTCCTTGGCTTTTCTAATGGCCCCCACCCACCACCACCACCCACCGATTCTTTTGCCTCGGCCCATGGTTTCCGAGCTGGACCGCACGTTCTGTCCCGTCCCTCTCTATTCTATGACACGGTCTTCGCATAACTTCCGACGATTTCAAAGCGCATAGGATCACCACCGCGGTCAAAATTTAATCCGACTTATAAGGTATTCTTTGAGAGTCTCCGGGTAGCCATGTACTCTACACTCGTTGCTCCTGAATTAAATAATAAGCAAAAACTCGCGATTTCTTTTGAGTGGTAGGAAGAGGTGGCGTGCAAATTTTCTAACTAAATCGATCTAGTAGTTGGGCAACGACTCAGTCCTATGTCTCCTATCCTTTTGTTAACGTCGTCTAGTACTTTCCAAACGGGAAACACAAAGACGCAAGGGTAATCTGGGCAGCTCGGATGCGTTTCGAACCTTAAACAAAAGTAAGGATGCGCTTTGTTTACTGGAAAATAATTTTCGGAAAACACTTTCCTCATTTTCCGTGCTTGGTTTGCTTAGGAAAATAAGTCAACGAAAAATGTTTTCTTACCAAAGCTTAAATTCAGGGAAAATGATTTCCCTTTAAAAGAATTGGAAAATGTTTTCCAAAGAATGACTAGCTATCGAACGCATGCCTTCCGACAGTTTCAAACTACGTTGGATCACGATCTCGGTGGAAACTTAATCGGTCCGTGAGACTTGTAATGTATTCTCGAGTCTCCCGATAGCCATGCACTCTACCCTCGTTACCTTTGAATTAAATAATAAGCAAAAACGATTTTTTTTATTTATTTTTAAAAAAATCATTTTTTATTTTAAAAATCGAATTATTTTTTTCTTTCTTTTTCTTCTTCCTCAGGCCGGTTGCCGGCCACGAGCGACAGGAAAAGGCGGCATGCAAATTTTCTAACTAAATCGATCTAGATCAGTCCTCTCTATCCTTTTGTTAACGTTGTCCAATACTTTGCCGGGTGGAGGAGGAGGAGGGAGGAGGAAAAAGAAAAGGAAAGAAAAGAAAAAAAAAAGAAAAGAAAAAAAATAAAATTAAAAATAATAATAAAATTTCAAATTTTTCAAAAAGAAAATAAAAAATAAAAAGAAAAGAGAAAAATAAAAATAAAAAATAAAAAGAGAAATAAAAAATAATTAAAATTTTGATTTTTTTAAAAAAATCTTTTTTCCTAAAATAAAATCATGAGATTTAAATCATTTTTAATGAAATTCAAACATTAGAAAATGATTTTCATTGCGGATTACCAAACAAAAAATAACTAAGCATATTCATGGAAAATGATTTTTTGAAAAATATTTTCCTTTATCATTGAGTTTTCTGTGAAATAAATGCACCCTAAGATTGATTTTGTGCATAATTTCTATACCAAAGCGCATACGCAATCAAATGAAGTCAAATCAGCCGGTTCTAATGATAGGTTTGTAATGACAAGAACAAAGACGAAGGATTAAACAAGGAAGAGTAAGTGGGGGGGTGTGGACCATACGGACGTCTAAATCAAAGCTTTTTCCAATGTGGAAAAAAGGGTTGCCGGAAAGACGGTTGGGCGACTTCCCCTTCCTTTGTAATTCACACCCCAAATCTCTCTGGCCAACCACTCTTGTTGGTGTATGGTCAACCACCAGCTCCAAATTCACCAGAAATTCCTTTCTTTGGTTGTAAATTTTCAATGTCTTTCATTTAATGCGCCAGTCGTTCAATAAAACGACAATGATCTTCCTCACCACACACGTCAAGTTAGGTTTCACCCGAGGTTGATTCTTCTCAACTTTTGGGATGGTACATGAACATCCAACCTCTCTCTCTCTCTCTCTGTGCTCCTTCCTCCCGGATTGAACCTTTTGTTTCCCATTCTCATGGCCGCACCTCGATTCCAATCACTCTTGTCTCTTGTCTTTTCCCACTGTTCCTATCGAACTTGATAGTAATGGCTGTCAACATTTGGAGGCATACTTTGATTTCTCTTCCTAAATCTTATCGAACCTGATGGAACGATAAGACCCTCGATGAAACGGTTGTTATGGGATAGACCTGTCGTTATGGGGTAGACCTGATTATTGAGCCCAGCCTAACGTGGGCTTGGGCTGCATCAGTCCTGTCCAATCCTGCCTAGCCCCAGGGCGGCGTGCCTTTTTTTGGAGCTCGGCCGGCCCACGGATGACCATGAGGCCTACGCCCACGCAATTATATGGGCTAAAATTCTCTTGATATGATTTGGAAGACATAATTAATCCATAAAATGACAAGGAGTGTTGAGAAGGGGAAAACAAGCAAGTGTCATGGGTTGCTGAGCAAAATCAAGTTGTCGATTGTGTGGATCGACGAGGGAGAGAGAGAGGCGTAAGATGACGGAGGGTGCCACGCAGGTTTGGGACAGCCATTGTAGTGAAGCCACGGCTTTGACCGCTTGGAACGGCGGAGGAAGGCGCGGCTTGGCCAGGCTCACCGAAACATACCTATTTCCTCGGCCAAGCCCGGCGATTTGGTGGGCGGGCCCGTTAGCTGCTAGGCCCTTGATGAGGTCTACTTGTAGGAGAAGGAGAGATACAAAACCAGTGTTCCAAGTTGCTAATCAATCCCAGATTCCCAGAGCGTGAAAATTTGGCAATTCCAGGCCCCAAAACTCATACAATTTACACAATCCCAATCCAAATTGTGTGATTGGGCACCTAAAATGCAGCCACACAAAAATTGAGCTGGGCCGACCGATATCCAAATGGGCCCAGGCCCAACAAGACACATCTCGCCCAAATTCTGGCCCAAATCATTTCCATCAGCTTTGCTTTCCTTCTGGTTTTCCTGCACGCCTTCTCTCTCTCGCTCCCTCTTTCTCTCTCTCATACATCGCTAGAATGAGGAGGTGTGCGGCGCTGTTGCGGCGGTCGTGGAGCTCAGGCGGCGGCGGCGGAGTCGTGGGCCTCCGCCGGCAACCCCAGTTCCTCCTTCGTCTCCCAAGTTATGCGGATGACGCACAAAGAGCCGTCCCTCCCATGGTCGCCTCTGCCTTCGCCGCTATCTCTCTTCCCCGGACCTTCTCCTCAGCTTCGTCTCCTTCAGGTGCGCTTCCTCACCTCTCCGTCCCAATTCATCAACACCCGTTTCGCTACATTTCCCTCTCTTCCTTCCCTTTTGATTGCTTTCTCAGTCTATTTCTTGACGTGCGCCCGAGTCTTGCATCAGCTATTTGAAGTTGGTGGGTCGGCACCATTTGTATTTGGGAATTCGTATACTCGCGCTTGAAGAAGAAAGATTGAACTTTTGATTGCGATTCGACCAGTTGGAGTTCAAGGCTCTTCCTGCTTTCCACGAACCAAACTTCCTATCCACACTACACGATGTGCATTTACCAACTGTGGTCTCTTGTCTACATTTCTCCCTCTTTTGGGGAAGGGAGTTACAACATGAGGAAGGGCGATAGTTGGAATCGGGGTCAATGCGTGAAATTCATGCTCGCCAATTGCCATCATAGATAGTCTTGCTCGTACTTTTTTGAAAAGGCTGACAATTCGTAGCATTTCTGTTGGTGGCTTATTTTCCCTCTTTGAAAATGTAAGCTCGTTTTAGCTCACCAAGGGATGTGTAGTGGATAGTTCCTGCCTCTTAGATGAACTGCATATTCTGAGTGGCTCAAATTTGGTGGTCCACTAAGGCCAATCTTGCAATCTCAGGTTCTACGAGCATGCACCTTGTCAAGTCAGAAGAACAGTTCGATGGTGTGCTTGCCAAGATCAGAGGTTTGTTCTTCTTCTGGTGTCGACTCCTTTTTGTTTTATGGCTAGACATGTATGACACAGAGGAGATGGGATCGCAGTTCTTACCTCTTCGAGGGCCCCCAAAATACGAAATATCTTATGCTTTTGTCTGATTGGTTTTGATAGATGAGTCTGCACCAGCAATTTTGTACTTCACTGCGGCATGGTGTGGTCCTTGTAAGTAATCTCAACCATCTAGGAATTTGGCAACGTCCTCCATTAACTGGCACTTGTTCCTCTTGATTATCCTCTGTTACTTGAATATAAAAGGTTACTTTAGCCTTAACATTAATCTGCCTGTGTCTTGCAGGCAGATTCATGTCCCCTGCCATTGAAGCATTGAATGAGAAGTACCCTCATGTGACTACGTATAAAATTGACATTGATCAGGTAATGCCTTTTGCTTTTTCTCTGGTTTCCACATTGTCCCTCTAGACCACTCTTAATCTTAGTGGAAGTTCTCTATGGTGATATTCACGGCTTTCTCTCTATGATAGAAATGCTTTCTACTCTTGGATGCTAATATTGTTAATTTGTCTGCAGGAGGGCATTCAAGACAAATTGATGGAGCTGAGGATCGACTCTGTGGTAAGACAATGTTATGCATGTTATTGGATGCTATTTTCAAGCAATGTATACGGTTTTTTTAATTTCACTAACAAAGATAATCTGAAGATTGCGTGTCTGATTGGTGCTGCAAATGGAGGAACGTTCTCAAAACTCAAGCTCGTCTTGGGAAGAATTTTGTGACTTGCAGCCTCCTCCTTATCTATGCAAGAAAATTCTCTATTGTGATCTAAAATGTCTTGCATACTGTGGTCATGGATGGTGGTTCCTTCTGATAGAATTTCTATCTTGGTACCGAGATAACAGCTCGTTTCCGTTATCAAACTGCCCATACACCAAAGCACCAAATCCTTTGCTCCAGTATGATTTCATGAGCCCACACCAGTTGTTGCTTCAATCCATACTGTCCACATCTAGTGCTTTTCAACTGCACAGCATTTGAACACGCTTATCAGACCTGATTGACTTTATGATTTCCTGGAATGTATCTTTACTAAAGCAATATGGAGTTGGTCATTCTTTCCTTGGCCATGAGGAAAAACTGTTTTATTGTTTTCTTTAATTGGAGCTATTACAACTTCACTACAGCTGTGCCATTTTTTTAGTTTTTCATTTGATTTTTATTTTGGTGCTTGGGGGTAGAAATGGGGCTGCCTGGGGGTAGAAATGGGGCTAGATACAAAATCCAAGATATAGAAAAAACTGACATGAACAGTGTTCCTGGAAGTGCATGACACCCTAAAGTTGCACAAAAAACCCAAAGGAATTGAAGACCTAGTTTAATTAACTGGAGTCCAACAGGAAATGTTCAGGTTTTTTCTAGTTCAGGTGGAAGTTCTTTTTCTTTTGGCTTTAATTTGTTCTTGCTATAGGTTGTTTCATTCCATAAGAAACAGAAATGGTCGGACTTGGAGTTGAACTGAATTGTTGCTGCTTCAAATTCTCAATTGTATGTAGATTCTTCGAATTTGTTTCAACTCTGTGATGTGTCAACTTTGGGCTGATGTGGTGCAGTTAGGGTCACAAAAGAGAATTCCAAAACTAAAAAGAAATTGGGTCAGTTTGGGTTTGCGCAGAAATTGATCTGGCCTCATTGACACCCATCAAGTAGAGTGAGAAGTACTATGAGTTAGGCATGATGAAAACTTGGGAAGCATCATCATCGTTTTCTGACATTTTATATCCTAAACTATGCATTCTGATGGATTTTTTTTGAGAAATGCCTGTGGGAACTGTGGGGGAGTTAATTTTCTTCTTCGGCTTCATTTAACTCTCATCTGTGTGGTTCTTTTTTGTATGGGAAACTGATTTTACATTTTGCTGCAGCCGAGACTTCATTTCTTCAGCAAGGGGCAGAAGGTAGATGAAATTGTGGGAGCTGATATTGAACGCTTGAAGCATACAATGGATAGGCTGTATAAGTGATTCTCTTATGGCCTCTTGCGCTATACGGATGTGTTTGTGCATATGGGCTGACATAACTGCTCCTACCCTATTGGGCCTTAGTGGCTGCTAGAGTTTGTGAGGCAACGACCATATCTGTCGTGTCGGTCCCGAGAGTTCTTGGACTTCTTTTTGTCATGTTTTTCATTGGTTAGGATTACCCAGTGTGAAATAACATATGATTTCCCGATGAAAGCCACTAATAAAACAGGGGGAACTTTCTCTTGGCTGCCTCTTTCATGCATATAACTAGTGATAACTTTACCTTAGCTGACCATCATGTCAAAGACGCCTAATATGTGGATGTGGATACGTTAGTTTGTAGGGGTTTACATAGTTTGGATTGGACCCAAAACTAACCTATTGGATTAGAACAGTTCCAACCCATATCGAAACCACATTTATCTTGCAAGTTCCGTGTGTAGGATTCAGGCCTCATTGCATTATGGGACTTCGAGAGAGTGCCCCGGCATAATGTCATCTCTTGTGCTATTCTCGATTATGCCCATTTTTCTTTGGGTCAAAAATTGGATTTCAAATAGTTGACGGGGGCTTGTAAGTCTTTGGATTTCCTTTTTCTTCTTTGAGAAGTATAGTAATCCCATCTTAGGTTGCAAATTGATGTAAGACGGAGATTACATTGGAATACACTAAGTGGGAGATCCTATGCAACAATGATATATGGTCATGAACCTTCAATCAGTTTTTTGTTAAGACCTTGGAAGATGGCGACCTTCTACAGTTGATCTCATTGGATGACAGATTATCCATTTAGAAATTAATAAGAGGTCCGTTTGTTTGATAAAAAATCATTTTCGAGAAAATATTTTCAGACTTCCTGACATTAACCGAAAGTGAATTGAACCATAAAGAGAATGCATAAAATCCCGTTAAGATGAGTCCGGTGACCTCAGTGGATCTCGGGAATTCAATTATAAGGCACGTAAAGTTGGCAAGGCGGAGAATGCATTAAAGAGAATTGAACCATGAAAGTGTCGGGCGCTAGTGTCGTAATGGTGGGCCAGATTGTGTCGACGGAGGCAGAAAAAACCATACTGTTGAGGAAGCTTCAAGCCGTTCAGGATCATGTTTCTACTCTGGAAATCGTCCAAGTGAATCCCAATGGAAGATGTTTTTTACTCGTCAAGGATGTCGAGAAGGAAGGTTTTTACTCTTACGCTCTCTCTATCACAATTTTTTAGCTTTCCTTCTTGACGTACGTCCTTGACGGTGTAAGCTATTCGCAACATCTTGATCACCACTGGGATGCACTTGGAACATTTCCAGAGCGGAAACATGATCACGGCTGGAAGCTTCCTCAACAGCATGGTTTTTTCCGCCTCCATCGGCACAATTCCGGGTCACCATCGTAACGCTAGTGCCCGACACTTTCATGGGTCTTTCCCTATATACACGTTCATGGGATATTCGTAAGCTCTACAATCTGCTCTCGCTCCAAAGGACACTAGATTTTGGAACTTGCCAACCAAGACCTCTAGATCATGCCATCCAAGCCTCTCACAGAATACAGAAACCATTGAGGCAAACCGATTACATTTTCTTGTAAAGCTTGAACCATTCCTCAGGCCACTTTATATGCTTCTCAAACTTCAGCCACAGGAGCTTCCTTCATCACCAGATTCAGATCGTCATCTAAAGCTTCGGAGTCTAAAGCTCCTACATAGTGATTTGCATATTACATGCAAAAAGCATGTAATGCGAGCTACTGAGTTCTTTTTCTTCCATGCAGCAAATGCATCTTTATCCCTTCTATGTTGTGCAGTATTTCAATCTTCAGGTTCTTCCATAACTTGATTAAGAGCTTCTAGTACTTCTTGCTCTTCTTCAATTTTCATATTCCAGATTTCATAATTTTCGCCCTTTCAATTTCTCTCCCTTATTGAGCTCAGCTACGATATTCTTAAATGCTAAAGCCATTGGTTCTGAACACATATATGCATAATTATTAATCTCTAACATTTATGCATCTATTTTACACAAACTAATTACATTAATGAATAATTTCATATAAGATTTCATATTCGAAAGGTTACTTTGTTTTCAATCATCATCTAAAAATCCTAATTTGAAATTATCATTAATATAATTCTTTATGCAAAATTAAGTTCTTTTAAGTTATTAAAACTTTCTAGAACTTCCCACTCATATATAACATGAACAAGACAATATCAATATAAAAACAACGCCATTGAATATTCAAAACTAAATATTCCATAAACAATGCATAAGTCTAAGAAGAAAGAAGATACTAACATAGAAAAGTTCACTAATGACAACATATTCTAAAGAAATAGCATCAATATTTCTTAATCTTCATAAAAACAGGGATAGACTCATAAAATTCCTCATGAAAATCAACAGTGGAGTTTGTTAACCAAGGGAAGACTTTTGCAAATCTCTTAGATATGTGCCAGGTCATATTCATCGCTAGTGTTGATGTCTTTGTTGCCCCAATCTTTATATACTTTTTCAGAGAAGCTTCCACAAGTATCTTATGTTGTGGACATTGGTCGGGTTTCCATAGTTCATCAACAATGGCTTGCCACACTTCAGGAAGGGTGTTTCTCAAGGCAACGACCCTGTTACGATCTCTCATAATAAAACCCTCCCAAATTATATTTTGGATCATTTCATTGACCTCAATAACATGCTCTAACATGTTAACATTACCATCTCATCGATAATTGGCCAATTCTTCTCTTAATCTTAGCAGATTCATTCTTTGTTCCCACTTCCTTGGTATTCTGGGACGGCGTACGATAGTTACCATTGTTTATGTAACGAAAACAGAATAAAAGGATTACTCATAATGCATGGAACAACAAAATATTGGGAACATCGAAGACATCAACATGCAAAAGTCTCGGGATCTACTCCCACCGAGGTTAATGAGATTAATAAATTATGTCACAATTTAGATAATTTCAATATAAACACAACGACATCAACCATGCCCCAACTGGAGCTCCTACGATTTTTTTAATAATTAAAAAAAATGGAGGGCAGAATCGTAATTTCGCGGAGAGGGGCAACAGGCGTATGCCATGCATGGGCATGTACCATCGTGCAAGTGCGTGCCACACGCGCGCCGACAACGAGACAGCCGCTTACGGCAGCGCATGGGGGAGCGTGCGGCCTCCCCTGGCGATGTGCCACCCCTCGTTTTTCTTGTCTCAATGAGAACTACCAACCTGTGTAATTAAAAATGATTTTTAGTGGACGAAACTCCGAGAAGTGGCCCCGAATAGTATGGTCGAGTGTTGATTTCCGTACCCGAGTGGCCGTCGGAACGGTTTGCAATTTTCGGCTGATCCTTGTTTGATGAACAAGCCAATTAACAGTCGAGAAATAGTTCTGATACCAATGATGGATACGTATTCCTAAATAAAACGAAACTCGAACAGTTGAGAAATAGTTCCTAAATACCGAAACTCGAACAATCGATAAACATGCCTAAGAAAATCTACAAATACTAATCGAATAGGTATATCATACAACGAACATGCCTTGTTTCCACAAATTAAAGGCTATCAATTGCAGGCGCGAGAGTTCCTCGTTGGATCGTATGTCAGGGAAGAGAACAGAACGCCGTTTTCTTATCTTTTTCTTAAATCACCCTATTCTCACTATTACGATCTTTTCCCTTTTGTTTTTGAACTGCTAAGGGCAGTTACACGATCCGCAAGTAACTGACATAGCAGTTACTTGAGATGGGCTCCCATGATGGGTCATGAGCTGGGTTAGCCCAACACGGATGGCCCGCACATCCATAAACCCATAATCCATCATAAACAAATGCATACTCGCGAAGCGGGGACAGAAGTCAGACATATGCCTCCGTATTAAATTAACTTAGATTATGGCTGGCTGGTCCTTGGAGCACATTGAATTTCAAGGTTCAAGAGTGCAGTACTAAGATTGATCATACAATAAGGCAGGACCACCGCATTAGCTGTTTTGTATCCTCATCTATGCTGCTATTACTGGCATTCCTTTGGAAGCTTCTAAGGACATACTCCTCATCTATTTACAAGTCCTCAAACGATAGTCATCACAGTGCTTTCTAGGAAAAGTATGAATCATACTGTCGAAACATATCATGACTCTTAGACAGGGAAAGCATAAGAACTGCACCTGCAAGGCTGCACCAATCTTGCCAAACTGAGGGCAACATTGCACGCACGAAATGCTTTCTCATCTGGAAGCACGTGGTCGTTTGAGATTCCGGACTGCTTTTGCAATTTACCATGCGATCCTTTTGGGTAATTGTCGAATCTTGTCTTGAGCACGTGCTCGACCACCTTCGGATTTGTGGTAATGACATTGCCAAGGACATGGATGTGAGAATGGTCGGGGATGGAGATTTTTTTAGGGAAAAGTACCAAAATAGTCATAACCTATTGGCAAAAAGTATTAAAGAAGTCCTAAATCTATTATATTGGTGCTAATTTAGTCCTTAATGTTTTGACCTAGTGCCAATTTAGTCCTTATGGTTAATTTTGACCGGTTGTTGACGTGGAAGCCGGCCAACCTACGTGACACAGCCGATACTAACGTGAACAATTTTTTAATAATATTTAATAATTTCAATTTTTTTTTCTTTTTTCTTTCTTTTTTTCCTTTCTTTTTTTCTCTTTTTCCCCCTGCCCAAGTGAGGGGAAAAAAAGAGAAAAAAAAAGAAAGAAAAAAATAAAAAAGAATTTTTTTTGAAATTTATTAAAATATTATTAAAAATGTCACTTCAGTGTCGGTCGTGCCACGTAAGCTAGCCGACATTTACGTCAGTAATATCCGGCCAAAATTAGCCGCAATGACCGAATTGGCACTAGGTCAAAATGTTTATGATCAAATTGACACAATCAAAAGGTTTAAGACTAAATGCGCCCTAATGCAATATGTTTAGGATTTTTCTGACACTTTTCCCAAACCTATTACATTGGTACAAATTCAGTCATAAACTTTTCAATTTGACGAATTTAGTCTTAAACCTTTTCACATTGGTACAAATTCAGTCCATCCGACCAATGTAGGCTGAAAATTATTGACATGGGCCCCAGTAGTACGTAGCCGGTGTCGACGTGGACATTTTTAATAATTTTTTTGAATTTTTTTCTTTTTCTTTTTTTTCTTTCCTTCTCTTTCCTCTGGTAGTCGGCACATGCCATGGTTGGTGAGGCCAATCCTTGCCAAAGCGACACCCGGCAAGGTCGCCTTGGCCTAGGCAAGGGTCGGCCAGCTAACCTCATTGGTGGTCGCCTTGTGCCGGCCACCAGCGAAAAGAAGGGAAAGAAAAAAAAAAGAAAAAAACTTCACAAAAAATTATTAAAAATGTCAAAGTTAGCACTGGCCATGTTAGGGTCACCGGCGTCCACATTAAAAATTTCTGACCTAAATTGGCCAGGTGGATTGCATTGGTACCAATGTGAAAAGGTTTATGAGTAAATTAGTTTAATTGAAAGGTTTAAGACTGAATTGGTACCAATGCAATAGGTTTATGATTTTTTTAGTACTTTTCCCAATTTTTTGAGGAGATGAGCATACCGGTCCGAAAGGTTGTTGAACTCATTCGCCCAACTAGACGGATGATATATATTGCAAAATGTGGCATTGGTACAAAAGTTTGTCTCAAATACAAGAGAAATACATAGAAGATCAGAGGTAAAGAGATGGTGAACAATAAACCTAAGAGGAAGAAACAAGAAGATGTCTGAAGCTTATGAAACAATGAGAACTAGATGGACTCCATAGACGATATTTCTTAAGAATGAAAAAGAAAGATTCACACTGGGAAGGAAAATTTAAGTGGGGTAGCTGCAATTTGGAGTGAAAGATCTCTTAATTATACGAGAATCCTAAAGTCATTGAGATAAATATTTTGCAATTTCTCGGTCGAAATATTATCAACAAATGCAAGAATGTTCTATGCTAACCAACAAGGAAGCGTCTTCGCGTAAGTGGCACTCCTATTACCTGCCTTATCGGATGACCAAATCTAATGCGATAAAGCATTTTGAGGACACTGCACTAAATCAGCTACTTGTGGGCACATATAGTACGAAAGTATGAGAAACATAGCCTAAAAGAGCATCCTCAATAAATTCTGATTACAAGTTAGGTGATGGCTCTTGGTAAGCTATATATAACCCACAAACGTGCCTGTGACGAGATGGAGGAAGAGTAGGAGTTTCCTTTTCTTTTTTTTTTTTGCCAAAAGGAGGAGTTTGATGTTGAATTAAAGTTCAATCATGTCCCCACAGACCCGAGGAAAATGAGCCATTAAGAGGTTGCGAGGAAGTCTCCTAACTGACTTCAAAGTCAACGAGACGGATTGTTTGGGCTTTTAGTTGACGCGGTCTTCGTGACAATCACCTACAAATATTACTAGAGTGATCATAAGCTTACACCGTCATTTAAAAAAAAAGACTTACACGAGCATCTCAGACACCATTAATATGAAAGAGTGGAGAGTTACAATCTTAAAGTCAAAGATGGATGGGATCATTTATGCGCAATAATTTATTTTACACCGGTGATGTATGCTTTAATTTTTTTTTGTTGAAATATTATCTCACGTCCCTTGACATCGGGTCCTAAATACTTTATATATTCATATAGCCTCCCTCCACCTATCAGCTTAAACTTTTGGGTTGGACTTTCTATCATGGTATTAGAGCTGGTGTCATGTTATCTCTTATAGAAAAAGTTGTAATTTTCTTAAAACAACCAATTCACCCCAACCCCTCTTAGTTGTTATGTTAGCTTTATCACTCTGGTCATTCGTGTTTTCAAGTTGAGATTCGGTACTTTTCCAGCGCGTTATTTTACGAAGTTGAATTAGGAAAAAAGCTATTCGAAGTCTTGACTTCAAGCAAGATAAAAGGTCTTTAGGGATTAGGGATATATATACCAGATGAGTCCATTACACGCAACAAATAAAAAGAGTCTAGTCTATTTCTTGCAAACCTCGAGACTAGCAGCATGGTTCATATACATTCGCGACAAGAATAATTAAAGTGAATAATACTAGTGAAGTTTCTGATACTTTGATTGTAGGAAGTTGCCGACAGGTCTCCTTGTGGCATCGATTCTATCTATATCTTGGATGTGCTTTGCCCCCACGTACAAGGGGATAAATAAAGCGGCTACTTGCGAGTACTGGTAATATTCCATAACGGCACTCCTCCGATCTCAATGGGCTCCGGGAATGTGGGAAAGGTTTTAGAGAAGGCCAAAATGCCATAGGCTAATACGCAGTAATCCTTGCGCGCATAGGGTAATAGTGTCATTATAAAGGCCAAGATTTTCTTCAGCAATGCGAAAATAGCCAAAATGATGAGGGCCACGAAAGTATATAGCAGCCAGCCCTCCGGTATCAGGTTTCCGGCATGATGTGGTTTTCCAGTAGCAGTACCACTGGAATTGGTGGCAACGACAGTGGAATTGGCCGTGGGATTCAAGGAGGAATTCTGCCAGTATCCTTCCAGAAGAGTGAGACCATATTGGAAACCGAAAATCACCATTAAGACAGACATTAGAAATATAATGTTGCGAGCGGATTCATATCGGATGCCAAAAGAACATGCCAACTTCTCAAAGCGATCTAGATCACTGCCAAAAAACTGTGACAGAGAGAGGGTAGGAGCAAAATATTTTGCACGACGTCCTTCCCAGCGTAACCTCTTTGCGACACTTTGATCGCCGCTAGGATTCACTAGGAAGATTTCCAGAGCCGTCTTATCTTGGAAGTTCTTTGCATCTATGCTCGTATACCCAATCAACAACTTGATGATCTGGAAGAAATGCAAAGAAAACAAAATGAAGTATACTTTGTCAGCGGCTTCTGATCAGACTAAGTCTTGCTGATTGTTTCAGGAAGAACTCGCCATCCGTCATCCCGTATTCTGGATGATAGATTGTCGCTCTCTTTTCCATGTCGATTGTTTATTTATTGTTCTCTCTGTCTCTCTGCCATATGTACTATGACTCAACTGAACCACAGAAGGAAAAATAATTTACTTTGACTCAGCTTCCTCTTCTCCTGATATTTTCTCTTGGAACAGTTACATGAGTTGGATTGGGCATGACTTAGGTCTGGACACTATCGGGTATGAGTCGTTAAAACTGTATTACCTAAAAATAGATCAATATAGCATAAATGGGTCAATTTGAAACTGAATTCATTTTTGACCCATCCAAATACAATCCGACCCGCCCGTTTGAAGATATATTCCTAGATTAAATTATGCAAGGATCGAACAATAGAAGCACGAACAACTACGAAATCGATGAATTGAATCAGCATGAACTATACCTCGGGTTGCTTTTCGGATATAGCAATATGTAAGACGGTGTTACCATCTTGATCTTTCCAGTCCAAGATTTTTGTCAAATAGACTCGCTTAAGCCATCCAAACAAAACCTTGAATGCCTTGAGGTTGTGATTCTTGACAGCAACGTGAACTGCAGTTTCGCATTGGCTCGTCAAGTCTTCGATGGACGATTTGCAGGCAGTTAGGAATTCGGCCAAGAGCTCCAACTCATTGTCTCCTTCTTTCTCGGTGAGATAATGTAAAGGGGTGATCCCGCGTCGTCCTCGGACTCGGATCAACTTGGGGTCGAATTTCATCAGTGCCCTTGCGGTTTGATAATGCTCATGCTGCAAAGCCAAGTGCATGGGGCTGTAACCCTCTGGATTCAGTATCCGAGCGAACGAAGGCTTCAAGATGGCCATCTCAATGGCCACTTGGGTTTTCCCGGCGGCTGCGGCGATGTGGAGAGGGGTATTTGGGAAGGGGCCCTTACATGCACGATCTAAGAGTTTTGGCTCCTCCACAATGAACCTGTGGAGCTCATCAACATCATCATGTTCTATCGCTTGTTGAAGCCGAGGGTCCATTGTTTTGGCCAGGGAAACGTAGGAGAAGAGGGGCTTTGCTCGTTGCTGGTCGATGGAAGTGCGAGTACCCAACTTGCAAAATCATAAATAGTGCTACAGTCAACGAGAATTTAATTCGGTGGGTCAAGGCTTATGACTTATGCCGCAGGAACAACTCATCCGATTGGAGGGTCTTTCTCCGTCAGAGAACTTCCATGCCAAGTTTCGCCATGAGTCGGCCAAGTCATGAAGATAATTTAAAATTAATCCAAGAGGTGCAATCAATCCTATGCCAATAATTTGCGGTCCGACAATCTTTTTCTTTCTTTTTTTATTTAATGTTGTTGGGTGTCATTTCTCCCCAATTGCATGAAGTTGGGGGGAGTAACAGCTGAGGCTGTCTTGATAAATCACCACTACACCCGCCCTGGTACTCAATGATGGGAACTACTTAAACCGTGCGGAGTATAAGAATTCCAATGCTTGAATTCAACTGACAGCGAACTCCACTTCTAATTAGAGTTTTTTTTTTTCACTAAATTTCATGAAGTCTTCAAGTGGCCAAAACAAAATCTTAAATCGTCAATCGACCATCTGCCCAATCTTTAAGCCCTATTTCTACACATATCCCTATTGCCGTCTAGAAGAGTAAATCGATGTCCATCAACTGGTTAGGCCTTAGAGGGTTCTTCATAATTTGTTCCTCTTTAATGTAATTGGCAATTGAGTTTTCCATTATGATAAGATCGGATGGCCGCTGTAATAGTTCACTTGCTTTTAATCTCAAAGCTTATATGTTAGAACATGATTCGGAATTTAGCTCGTTAACCCGACCTGACCCGAATTAAACTGCGTTCATGTCGGAGTAGCAATCAAGATTTGAATGTCCCTACTTGAACTTTGTATTGGGTCCAAGTTTGCTCGAAACACGGCAATTGCCTTTTCGAACTGGAGTTGGTTCTGTTATTTCCATGGTGGAGTTCGAATTGGACCTTGACCGCAAATAGAGACTTAGAGTGCGTTTGTTTGAGGAAAAGTATTTTTCGGGAATTCGTTTTCCAGACGTTCACCCGTTTGGTTCGCCAAAAATGGTAAGTCAACTGAAAACACTTTCTGGTTAAGAAAAATATTCATATATAAAATTAGAAAAGTGAATTCCTTAATTTAAGAAGGTGAAAACACTTTCCTGAATTGCTCATTTTGAATTTGTTTATATTTTTGCTTCTCTTTTCTTTCTTTTTTTTCTTTTTTTTTTCTAAGAAGGTAAACATTCATATATTTTCCGTTCTCAAAAAAATAATTTAAAAATAACAAATAATTTGAAATGATAATTTTTTTGATAATTTTCTCCATTAGATTTTCATCACCAAACAACTGAAAATACTTTCAAAGTCTTTTATAGGTTTTAGTCAAATACCGAAAAGTAAACTCATTTTCTTGAAAAATGACTTCCTGAAAAGTATTTTTCAGAAATGGTACATTCTCCGCGAAACAAACACATCCTTGGAAGGAAAGTCCATTGCTGCTAGAAACACGGCAATTGCCAACATTGGAGTCACTTGGGAAACTTCCTTGCAACATCACAACGGCTCATTTTCCTTGGGTCTTTGGGGACCAAAAAAGGAAATTCCTTTTCTTACGTCTCCATCCCGTCACACCAACCTCAAATCACGCCAAAGTTGAAAGGCATCAAACCGAAAGATGCACTTTTTGACATGTCTAAAGCTCCGGGAATTCTACGGTCCAATCTCACTTTCTAGCCAAACGGCACCTTTCACTATATTGGTCTTCAATTATTTTCATATACGCCATTGGTGATCACTAAGGAAGAAGGAAATGAAGCGGATGTATAAGGTGGTATTTGCACCATCGTCATCCTTATCTCTTAGGATGACAATGATTGATGAATATAGTTCACTGAATAAGGTGGTATTCGCGCCATCGTCATCCTTATCTCTTAGGATGACAATGATTGATGAATATAGTTCACTGATTCACAACGAAACATTGATTTTTGCCTCGTGTTTTTGGCCAAACATAGCTGGTGCAAGAGAAATTTTGAATGACTCTCAACTGGAGCTAATGCATTGATGAAATAATACTCATGCATTGGTTTGTGGACATTCAATTCAAACGCAAGCGAAACGAATGTCTACGCGCACGAAACTAAAGAGGAAGACTCACCACTCTCAAATATAAGAATGGTTATATAACCGCATTATATGGATGCAAATTCCATTATAGCAGATACAAAATTGGTGGATTGTGTATCCACCTAGCCACGGCGAGCAACAAAAATTGCACCCTGTTGTTACATTTCGATGGACAATAAAAAAAAAGGAGAATAATACTCGATATGATCGTTATCCGTATAGTGATTTGGTAATGGAATTATATTATATAGATAATAAATTATAATGGAACGTAGTAGGGTAGTGGATGAATTTATTCAAGACGGGGGGATTTCTAGGAAAGAGGAGCCCTATGTGGAATTCCTTTTCTCCTGCTGGTTAGAGACAAAACAATCCCAGGGATGACTTTATACCACTCCTTTCATTTTTCGTTTTTACCATCCGCGTCATATGATAAGAATTACGTCAAACTCTCGATGTATTGCTCATTGCCTCACTGCTGGTGCATGATGTCGAGTTATCGTCCTTGAACCGTTAATCACGATGAAGTATTAAGTGGTGATCTTCCAATCCAGGAGTGATGAGCTTGGTTTGACATGGCCGTGATCAATTGACATCTCGATGAGCTCTCCATTCTTAAGCCTTTTAAGTTTCATATGACTGTGAAATCCACCCCATCGAAATTGTATAGGATGCTTGACAGTTCTGTACCTCCATCCAACAAATGATCCGCGTACATACAAAGTTTTAATAAGTCATTTTGACTAAAAGATTAAGCAATTAATTAAAGGTGTGATTCGAAACATTTTCAACCTTGTAACAGTACAGAAAACGGTCATTGATCAATTTGTATTTCGTCTAGCAAGGTTGCCATCTTTAATCATTCATCTCATAATTTGGTGTTTTAGCATACCCACGATCGGGTGGACGATCCATTAAGTTTTTGTAGAAATATTTTGTTATCAATTATAACAAATGTAAATGATTTGACATACATTAAATTCGTAATGGTAAGGTCAATGGGAATACAATTTGGCCTCTTCTATATGTATAATTGTTTTCGAGTCCAAAAAGATAAAATAAAAATATACATAAAGCATTGTTCTTTTACTTTCCTTTCTACGTCTCTATGTGTTTGCAAGCACTTCTATTTTCGTGACAGATTACAAAACTAGTCAATGAACTTTGAAATTTTAGATATTGACTTTTCATCATCAACGCCTCCACGTGAAAATAATGTAATTTTCATTACCAATGCTACTTTATAGTGAGATACACATACGAATGGTATCTACATACGAAAGTTTTAATAAGTCATTTCGACTAAAAGATTAAGCAATTAATTAAAGGTGTGATTCGAAACATTTTCAACCTTGTAACAGTACAGAAAACGGCCATTGATCAATTTGTATTTCGTCTAGCAAGGTTGCCATCTTTAATCAGTCGATCTCATAATTTGGTGTTTTAGCATACCCACGATCGGGTGGACGATCCATTAAGTTTTTGTAGAAATATTATTTTGTTATCAATTATAACAAATGTAAATGATTTGACATACATTAAATTCGTAATGGTAAGGTCGATGGGAATACAATTTGGCCTCTTCTATATTTATAATTGTTTTCGAGTCCAAAAAGATACAATAAAAATATACATAAAGCATTGTTCTTTTACTTTCCTTTCTACGTCTCTATGTGTTTGCAAGCACTTCTATTTTCGTGACAGATTACAAAACTAGTCAATGAACTTTGAAATTTTAGATATTGACTTTTCATCATCAACGCCTCCACGTGAAAATAATGTAATTTTCATTACCAATGCTACTTTATAGTGAGATACACATACGAATGGTATCTACATACGAAAGTTTTAATAAGTCATTTCGACTAAAAGATTAAGCAATTAATTAAAGGTGTGATTCGAAACATTTTCAACCTTGTAACAGTACAGAAAACGGCCATTGATCAATTTGTATTTCGTCTAGCAAGGTTGCCATCTTTAATCAGTCGATCTCATAATTTGGTGTTTTAGCATACCCACGATCGGGTGGACGATCCATTAAGTTTTTGTAGAAATATTATTTTGTTATCAATTATAACAAATGTAAATGATTTGACATACATTAAATTCGTAATGGTAAGGTCGATGGGAATACAATTTGGCCTCTTCTATATTTATAATTGTTTTCGAGTCCAAAAAGATACAATAAAAATATACCTAAAGCATTGTTCTTTTACTTTCCTTTCTACGTCTCTATGTGTTTGCAAGCACTTTTATTTTCGTGACAGATTACAAAACTAGTCAATGAACTTTGAAATTTTAGATATCGACTTTTCATCATGTAAGCCTCCACGTGAAAATAATCTAATTTTCATTACCATTGCTACTTTATAGTGAGATACACATACGAATGGTATCTATGTACGAAATACTACGGTGACAATCTTAAAGATTTTGATATTTCTTATCGTTGATTCCTATAAAAAGAAAGATCCTACTTTTACTAAAGCAAGATACCGCATTTAGTTGAAGTTAAGGCGTGCAAAACCCTAGATTTTACGGGCCAAAGGAGGTGCATCGATAAATGACATTGTTTCCACTACCCCATGGCATGAAGGGCAAAGAAAGAAAAAGAGAGCAAGGCATCCAAAACTCCAAATCCTTCCACCAAATGCAGCTTTTTCTTGGCGTGTTCTTTGGCTTTCTAACTCACGAATGCGTAGGTAAGCGCCAGTGATGTGCTACAGAATGTAAAACTAAAAGATTTGGAGATATGGCCGACGTGTGAGTTGATATGGCCGCTCGGCAATTCGGCTGGCAGGCCCATGGGTTGCTAAACCCATGATCAGGTCAACTGTGGGAGAACGAGGGGTATAAAAACACTGTTTGAAAAAGGTAATTAATCAAGATTTTAGAGCATGAAAAAAGTGGTAATTGCAGGCCCAAAACTTATACAATTGTACTATCCTCATCCTCATTGTGTGGATGGGCAACTAAATGCAGCCACACAACAATTGAGCTGGACTGACCGATGTCCAAATGGGCCGGGCCCAACAAGACACATCGCACCCAACTTCTGGCCCAAATCATTTCTATCGGTTTTGCTTTCTTTCTTGTTTTTCATGCACACCTTGACTCTCTCTCTCTCTCTCTTTCTCATCGCTAGAATGAGGAGGTGTGCGACTCTGTTGCGGTGATCCTGGAGCTAACAAAGTTAATCTGAAGATTGATAGTCTAGCTGATGCTGCGTATCAAGGAATGTTCTCAAAACTCAAGCTCGTCTTGGGAAGAACTTTGTGTCTCGGAGCCTCTTTGTTATCCATGAAAGAAAATTCCGGATTGTGTTTTAAAGTTTCTTGCATACTGTGGTCATGGGGGTGGTCACTTCCGATAGAGTTCATATTTTGGTACAGAGATAACAGGTCTTTTCCTTTATTAAACCGCTCTCACACCAAAGCACCAAATCCCTTTGCTCCAGTATGATTTCATGAGCCAATGGCTGTTTTTGCTTCAATGCATACTGTCCACATCTATTGCTTTCCAACTGCACAGTATTTGAACACACTTATCAGAGATAATTGACTTCATCATTTTCTGAAAGGTACGTTCCTTGGAGCAATATGGAGTTGGTCATTCTTTCCTTGGCTAGCTAAGAAATCGTTGGCCATCAGGAAAATCCATTTTAGTATCTTGATTAATTTGAGCTATTACCAGCTTCACTTCAGCTGTGCCGTCCTTTGAGTTTTTCATTTGATTTCTCTTTTTATTTCTGTTTTATTTCTTTGGTACTTGGGGGAAGAAATTTGGCTAGATACAAAATTCAATATATGGAAAAATGGACATGATCAGTGTTCCTGGGAGTGCATGACACCCTAAAGTTGTACGAAAAAAACTGGAAGGAATTGAAGACGGAGTTTATGAACTGGAGTCGAACAGGAAAAGTTCAGGTTTGATCAAGTTCCGGGGGAAGTTCTTTCTCTTTTGGTTTTATTTGTTCTTGCTATAGGTTGATTCTGGCCATAAGTGGCAGAAATGGTCGGGACTCGGAGTTCAACCGAACTGTTGTTGCTTCAAATTCTCAATCATACTGAAGTTCTTCAAGTTCGGTTCCACTCTGTGATGTGTCGGCTTTGGGCTGGTGTGGTGCAGTCTTAATGTCACAAAAGAGAATTCCAAAACTCAAAATAAATTGGGTCAGTTTGGGTTTGCGCAAAAAATTGATCTGGCCTCGTCGACACCCATCAAGCAAAGTGGAAAGTGCTATGAGTTAGGCATAATGAAAAAGTTGCAAGCATCATCATTGTTTCCGGACATTTCATATCCTGAATTATGCATTCTGACGGATCTTTCTTGAGAAATGCCAGCGAGAACTGTGTGCGAGCCAATTTTCTGTCTTCGGCTTCATTAAACTCTCGTCTAACTTTTAACTTCTGTGGTACTACTTTTGTATGAGAAACTGATTTCGAATTTTGCTGCAGCCGAGACTTCATTTCTTCAGCAAGGGGCAAAAGGTAGATGAAATTGTGGGAGCTGATGTTGAACGCTTGAAGCATACAATGGATAGGCTATATACTTGATTCTCTCATCGCCTCTTGCGCTATACGGATGTGTTTGTGCATATGAGCTGACATAACTGCTCCTACCTATTGGGCCTTAGTGGCCGCCGGCCCTACATCGGAGGGCATCACATTGTGTAGAGTTTGTGAGGCGGTGACCGTATATTTCTGTCGTGTCGGTCCTGAGACTTCTTGGGCTTCTTTTTGTCATGTTTTGTGTTATTTAGGAGTACCTAGTGCGATATAACATAGGGTGAGCATGGTTCCAAGTTTTACCCTAGAACATGAGAACCTGACTAGTAGAAACATGTAAGTTCTAGGTTTCAAGGTATGCAGGATAGGTTACAGATTCCAAAAATTAGGAAACATATTTCGACGAGTAGGTTTCAGGTTCTAGGTAGGTGGAACCTGGAACCTGAAACCTAAACAAGTTTTTTGTGTTTTTTTTGTCTATATTTTCGCGTGATTCTGCTGTGTTTCATAGCAGTAGATGATGATAATATAATCTGGAACCACTAGTTTGAGCTTTCATTTTATAACTTAGTAATGTTTCATATTTTTTGTGTGTCTAAATATAAGTTGTGGTTAGTAGATTATAGAAGTAAGTGGTGGTCATTAAAAATGATGATTCACTACAATTGTTCAATTAATAATATAGGTGGAACCTGAGTAGACTGTGGAACCGACCCTTGAACCTGTAATAGGGTACGTTCCAAGTTCCAAGTTCCAAAAAATAAGGAACCTATTATCATGGGTGGAACCTATACAGAACATGGAACTGCTCACTCCTAGTATTGATTCACGCAATGGCTTCTCATATTAGTTATATTTATTTAAACCGTAATTTCAGGAAAGCTAGTATTTTGTATTCTTTTTAATTAATGACAAGTTTGTTCAATATTATTGCATTCATTTTCGTTTTGATGAAATAAATAAATAAAAAGAACCTATTAAATCCTAGAACCTACCCTGTCAGTTCCAACAGGTAAGTTTCAGGTTCCAAAAAATGAAGAACTTGTACCCAATGGTAGGTTTCAGGTTCCATGTGAAACCTGTAAAGAATGAACCGCTCACCCCTAATAGAACACATGTTTTTCTTGTTGAAAGCCTCCATATGAACGTTTGGAACTTTCTCTTGGCTGCCTCTTACATGCATAACTAGCGATAACTTTGCCTCAGCTGACCATAATGTTAGAGACGCCATCTATATAGATGTGGAAATGCTAGTTTGTAGGGGTTTACACAGTACGGATTGGACCCAAACCAAACTTATTGCTTTAGAATAGTTTCAAACCATATCGAAACCACACTTATCACGCAAGTTCGGGGTGTACGATTCAGGCCTCATTCAATTAAGGGACTTCGAGAGAGTGCCCCAGCCTAATGTCGTCTCTTGTGCTGTTCTCGATTTTGCCCATGTTTCTTTGGGTCAAAAATTGGATTTCAAATAGTTGACGGGCTTGTAAGTCTTTGGATTTCCTTTTTCTTCTTTGAGAAATATAGTATCCCATCTTAGGGTGCAAATTGATATAAGACTGAGATTACATTGAAATACGCCAAGTGGCAGATCCCACGCAACAATGATATATGGTCATGACCCTTCAATCAGTTCTTTGTTAAGACCTTGGAAGATGGCGACCTTCTTCAGTTGATCTCTTTGGATGAGAGATTATCCATTCATAAATTAACAAGACTTATGGTTCGTTTGGTTGATATAAAATCATTTTCGAGAAAATATTTTCAGCCTTCCCGACGTTCGGATAACTGGAGACCGGAAACTAATAGGTGGATAGAAATTGTAAGAATTATGAGGCTTGGAAATTACATGGTTCAACCGCAAAGCTCTGTCATCCACTTTTCTTGTCTTCTGCTATTTCTCATTAAATTGTCGCATTCATCAGCGCTATTTCTGTTTGATGAACACATCAAACAGGAGTGTACTTAATTTTTTTTGTATTAAACAGGAGGAAAGGGGAAAAGGATCTTTCTAATTATATTAAAGACAATTGAAGAGATAAAGGAATTGAAAGATAGTCCATTTCATACTACTAGTAAGAAGAGTCTTCTTCTTGCAAACCTCAAGACTGGAAATATAGATTATATGCACTCGCGACAATAAGAGTTAAAAGTATATAATATTGAACAAACACAACACCAGCACATGAAGTAGTTTTGAAGTGGTCAAATTTCAGTTTTACATGTCTTCAATAATGTAGTAGTGGAGTCCTAGTTTGTAGGGATTTGTTTCTACACGTTTTAGTTAGTGAGATATGTTAGTGGGTCTTTGTTATTGTTATCATGTTGTTATTTTCTTGCTGAGTTTTTTTTTCTCAATGTTATGCCTATTCAATAGGCTTGTGATCTGTTGAGTAAAAAGTACGAGAGTTTTTCAGCGGCAATTTTTTGTGTGTGTCCTCTTCTACTCTTTGCTCTCTTTAGAGGTTATTGAACCATACTTGCCGCTTGTTCTTTTTCAACAATTTGGTATCAGAGCCAGGTTCTGGGTATTTCTTGAGCATCTCTATTGCCAAGATGGGTGATCTTCAAGTCGTTGGCGGAATCAAGAAGCTCAGCAACCAAAACTACAATTCTTGGTCTACCTACATGATGTCTTATATGCAGGGCCAGGATTTGTGGGAGGTTGTCAATGGAAACAATGTGAGACAACCGGAGGCTGAAGATGCGAATGGGACATTGCGGAAGTGGAAGATTAAAGCGGGCAAAGCCATGTTCGTTTTGAAGACGATAGTTGAAGAGGATGTGCTGGAGCATATCCGAGATGCGGAAACTCCCAAAGAAGCTTGGGATACGTTCGCCAAGCTGTTCTCTAAGAAGAACGATACGAAGCTCCAACTCTTAGAAAGTGAGTTGTTGTCGATGGCGCAACGCGACATGATGATCACTCAGTACTTCCACAAAGTGAAGACGTTATGCCGAGAGATTACTGAATTGGATCCGGAGGCTCCGATTAGCGATACCAGGATGAAGCGCATCATCATCCATGGTTTGAAGCCATTCGGGAGTTTTGTTGCTGCCATACAAGGATGGCAAACTCAGCCGTCTCTTGTCGAATTCGAAAATTTGCTAGCTGGTCAAGAAGCATTAGCTAAGCAAATGGGAGGAGTCTCGTTGAAGAATGAAGAAGAGGCACTCTACGCCAATAAAGGCAAGTGGAATTCCAAGCGGCATGCCTACGGTGGATCCAAAAAGAACGATGACAAGGCGAGAAGTCATCAAGATGAAGGGAGCGTTCGTGCATGGAAAGGTTCTAAGAACCATGGCAATGGCCAAAAGTTTGAAGGGAAGTGCTACAACTGCAATAAGAAAGATCATATGGTGAAAGATTGCTGGTCAAAAAAGAAGGCCATCGAGATTAACGCTGCTACTTCAAAAAATGAAGACGAATGGGATGCTGAGGCTTTTTTGCTGTAGATAAGGAGGAGCTAGCCCTTACTGCAACAACATTCAATCAAATCGATTATGAGAATAATTGGATCGTTGACTCGGGCTGCTCAAACCATATGACCGGTGATAAAGAAAAGTTGCAGAACTTGTCAGAGTACAAGGGAAGTCGGGTGGTGGTGACGGCGAATAACTCAAAGTTACCGATAGCCCACATCGGTAATATGGCCGTCTCTCCCCAATGTAGCGATGCCGAGGTGCCACTCCAAAATGTCTATCATGTTCCAGGTATGAGAAAAAATCTTCTCTCGGTAGCACAATTAACATCTTCTGGCCATTTTGTTCTGTTTGGTCCACAAGATGTGAAGATATATCGAGACCTTGAGATTACGTGAAGAGCCGTAATGAAGGGACGAAGAACGGAGTCTCGTCTACATAATGTCTGCGGAAACCGCATATGTAGACAAGACGAGAAGGAATGAGACGGCAAACTTATGGCACATGCGACTAAGTCACGTTAGCTATTCCAAGCTAGATGTGATGATGAAGAAGTCGATGTTGAAGGGACTTCCGCAACTTGAAGTGAGAACAGACACTGTATGTGCAGGCTATCAGTATGGAAAAGCGCACCAGTTGCCATATGAAGAGTCCAAATTTAAAGCGAAGGAACCACTAGAGTTAATACACTCTGATGTGTTTGGACCAATTAAGCAAGCCTCCATTGGTGGGATGAAGTATATGGTGCCCTTCATTGACGACTTCTCGAGGTACGTGTGGGTTTACTTTATGAAGGAAAAATTTGAAACTCTTTCAAAATTCATAGAGTTCAAGAAGGTAGCGGAAGCGGAGGTTGGTAAAAGAGTCCGTTGTCTACGCACAAACAATGGGGGAGAGTACATCTCAAATGAGTTCACAGATTTCCTTCGGGAGTGCAGAATACGCCATCAGTTCACATGTGCTAGCACTCTGCAGCAAAACGGGGTGTCAGAAAGGAAAAACAGGCATCTGGCAGAAGTATGTCGAAGTATGCTTCATTCAAAGAATGTTCCGGGACGGTTTTGGGCGGAAGCGATGAAGACTGCGGCCTTCGTGACCAATAGGCTTCCTCAACAAAGGTTATGCTTTCGTTCACCTTTTGAAAAAATATGGAACATGAAGCCTGCTGTTGGTCATTTTCGAGTTTTTGGATGCGTGTGCTATGTATTTGTACCTGACCAGTTACGTAGCAAGATGGAGAAAAAGGCTGTTAGGTGTATCTTTGTAGGATACGACAGTCAAAGAAAAGGGTGGCGATGTTGCGATCCAACAACCGGGAAATGCTACACATCTCGGAATGTGGTGTTTGATGAAGCTTCCTCATGGTGGTCCTCGAACAAGGAAGTACTACCGGACTCTGATGTTTTTAGGGAAATGTTAGAAATTTCTCAATTCCAGTTGAGTTTAAGTGAAACAGAGGTTGCAGATGACGATGTAGATGTTGAAGAAGGCATAGCTCAAAATCCTTGGCAAACAGGTGTATACCAAAGGCCAAGCGAAGAAGATGAGCCAAGTGGAGCAAGTACACCAACTGCACTTAGAAGGTCAACAAGAGCCCGAAAGCCAAATCCTAAGTATGCTAATGCCGCCAAAGTAGAAGAGGCAGATGCAAAAGAGCCTGAGACATTTGAGGAAGCGTCTCAGAGTTCGGAATGGATTAAGGCTATGGAAGAGGAAATTGCTGCATTAGAGCGAAATCAGACTTGGGAGCTCATACC